TTCACTGCAAAACACCGACAATATTCACCATTGTTTTGATGAACAATGTAGAACTGACAGAAGTAAGCAAGAAATAAATAGATGTTAACTATTAGCAAGAATCTTAGTCACTAACGCATTAAGAAAATAGAGACAAAACTAATGTGTCTCTCGCAATCTAAAACGTCATAACAAAGTCAAATATATAAATAAATAGATAAAAATAAAAATAAAAATAATTTAAATAGCGTCAAGAACACGATCATAAAGCCCACTAAAATTCTCCGTATCTTTTGTAAATTAATACTTTTATAAATTTCGTTGTTTTTTTTTTATTAAAACATTACTGCAATTTCTTTTTTTCTTGTTTGTTTTTCTTGATGCAAGATCACCGGAGAATCCCACGGAACTCATGATCGTTGCAAGTCCAATGCAACTAACAAATGCAATGTCGTGTCTTTTTTAATATATTTTTCTATGTTCTTTGATGTGCGTTTCTAATGTCTCTTTCTGGCCAATATACGTAGAATCACAATTCGCACATTCAATTTTATTCACGACATCAGTTCTTTTTAAGTTGTCTATCCCATCTTTTCTCCTTTTTATCAGTGTGTCTAATTTTTTTAAAACGGTATATAATACAATTCCATTTTATTAATGCAACGCGTAATATTTTCGCTCAAATCTCTAATGTAAGGCAACACTATACTATTCGTTCGCGCATCAAATTTATTTTGGTTGAATGAGCTAAGATTATCGCCAAATTTAATCATTCTACGTCTTTTGTTAATGTATTTGTTTATACCATTAACGACTAACAATTATTACGAAGAATTCTTTTGACTATATTAATGTTTTCCTCCTCGTGAAACATAGGGTCGGCGAGTAAAATACCCTATCCACTAAACTTGTGATCACACTGATTTTATATCTCATCGGATGATTCGATAAAAAATTTATATATCGCCTAAAAACGTAGGCTTACGGAACTAATTAGTCATCAATCTGCCCCCAATCCGTATAACATTCGTGTCCAAAAAACTCAGAGAACAAGTGTTTCTCTAGTTCGGACGTAAATATAATTTAAGTGTAAAAACTATTAAACTGCTTACTTCTGTCAATTCTACATTCTTCATCAAAACAATGATGAATATTGTTGGTGGTTTGCAGTGAACTTGATTTACTGTATTAATTTGATATGTAGCATATTTTTGTATTTGAATGTATAATTATTTGTAGCGATAAGTGTATCAAAATTATAATATTTTTATGTAACTTTTTATAGATTTACTTAAAAAGGGCTGCAATGACAGCCGAACATTGTATTTCAACTAATTATTTATAATAAGTGATGCAGTTTGGTTGACTTTTAACTTTGAGGAAAGATTTTTATTTATTTGGATTGTTTAAGAATATCCCAATGTCCAGGAACGAATTTTTACTGGACATACATTAGACATCTTTGTGTTATCTGGGTTTAATATATCAATCTCCGCGGAACTTTCTTCTTTTTTTTTCTGGATAATAATTAACAACGCTTATGTGAATCATAACGTCTTTGTTCAAAGGCTATACAATATATTGTATATACAGAAACTCGAGATATCGAAAATAATACGTTGAACTTTTAATAGTACTTATTGTTGGAGATCACCTAACTCTGAATAGAAAAAAATGAGATAACAGACTTAAACAAAGCAATCAATGAAGAAGACAGCCCTCGCGAAGATTAATATACTTATATTTAGATGGACAAAAATGTTAATGTATGTTCAGTAAACTCTTTCTAAAAAATTTGTAAAATATTGTTCAAAAAATGGCATTGCGCCAATAAAGCATTCGAACTATTATAATAATCTTACGTTTATTGAACATTGTGCGATGTATTAATAATAATCAGATACAAACTTAGACACACGCAAATATATATTTAATTAAATTCTCTGTGAATTTACTGTTGATTTAATTCTTTCAACAAACACCAACAGTTCTCGCTCTTTCTTTCTCTTGCTTATAGCAAAAACATCGTTAATTTCTCAAATAACTTTTGACCAGAAATGATAGTTAAATCGACATCGTATTGATGTCGAATCAAAGTCGAATTGATCGGATCAATATCGATTCGACGTCTTTGGATCGATCATTTCTGATAAGGCCTCGTTTACAACTTTTATCCCGCCCTTCTCATGTAAAATTCTACTCTTGCATATTGTCGACGCCAGAAACAGCCCTTTTTACAGAACTCTATGTTCTATTAGCTATTATTTGACTAATTATCGTCAGGTTGCTGTTGGAGCAGCTCGGTGTTCAGCTCGGTGTTGTAGATCATCGTTAGCTGCTCTTGTTGTTTCCTGCGCTGTTTACGATTCCAATTGTACACGCAAAACAACGTCACAAAGACGATGAAGAGGAATACTGAGACACACTGGGCGAAGATTAACCAAACCGATCGAGGTTTCTCGGGCTCCATCTTCTGCTGTATCATGGCCAAACACTCGTTAAACAGTTCGTACGTCCGATTGCTGAAACTCACGTTGGCGCAGGTCTTGTTTAGAGCCGATGAATTGGTGCATTTGTAAAGTTTGGACTTCATCTTGATCTGCCGCAGCTTTACCCAGGCATTAAACGTCTGACAATCGCAGCTGCCCGCGTTGAATTTGATATCATTCCAGGTCAGATCGAGATCATTTAGCGAGCAGAACGGCGCCAGATCCTCGGTGCTGATCGAGGTGATTTCGTTGTCGGACAGATTCAGATTAATTAGGGTCGGCTGGAGTCCTATGTTCGGGATCACGTTTAGTCTGTTATCGGACAGCTGCAGTATTCTGAGAGGCGAGGTGACATTCACTTTGAACATGGAATTGTAGAGCTGTTGTGGCCGAGATAGAGCGTATGATAATACGTAATTGGAAGAGACTTTGGGCAGAAATTTGATATGGTTGTTCCTGAGATCCAGCACCTGCAGGTAAGGCTGATTGGCAAAGGCTGCCTCTTCGATTAGATAGATGAAATTGTCACGTAGATAGATAAATTCCAGTTTCTTGTATGGATGCAGACTGTCGTTAATCATTATGTGTGCATTATATTTTAAGTTATATTCAGCACCTAGCAAACAGAGGAAGAATGTCGGAGAATCTTAATTGATCCACGCAGAATATCCTTTGAACAATGCTTTTTAGAATGCTTCATACAAAAGTTTTTATACTTTCAGGAGAATATAACATTGGAGCAAATTTTATTATAATATTATTTATAACTTATAAATCATAATTTTAATTATTGTAAAAAATTAAAATTAAAATGGAGTCTCACGGATTTCTACAACTCGTTACAAATTTCTCTATTTTATTTATGCGAATTATAGATAAAATTTTAAAAAAATCCTCACAATATATATATATATGCAGAAAATAATCTTTTATAATGGTAAAAATATACATAACAATTATTTTATTGCAATTGTAGATAAAATATATGTAAACGACATCTCGGAATTCCGTACGATCTCAATTGGAAGCATCGCGCTTCCAATACCGAATAGATGTAATGTAGCGGCACGTATTCGGAAGCGGATTCTGATCCATTATTTCCGCGGATTTTGATGAATTCACGAAAACATCCGGTACTGGGCTACGACGAAAACCAGTAAAAGAAACCCGTTGAAGAGAAAGATTCTCATATCTGCAACGAAATCAGCGCAAACGTACGCTTATAAACTTTGCCCAAATATTTCTGCAACCGAATAATTAATTGCTCGCGAAGATGCAATATTTGGGATTCTCTCTTTACAACCGCTACATTATCATTTATGTTATTTTAGTATCACGCAATATCTCTCAATTTTTCTCTATTACATTTTAAATTATATATTTGTAATATAATATATTATTTGATATTTTATATATATTCTATTATTATGTATTATCAAAGACAAACAAGCAAATGATCAGTCTGGCTACGGTTCAGGTGTTTATTCTTGACACCGACATTTTCGAAAGTGTCTGTAATTAATACATCTAACTTAAGGGAATGCCGGAGGTATGTGTTTACCAATCAAATGCGAATATTTAGTTTTTTTTAAATAACTTTTTGTTGACTATACTAATGAATAAATTATTAATAATTCATGTTTCCTGAGATTACAAAGGAAAGACGAATATCACTAGTAACAAGCGTCAGACAGATACGAATAAAGCGCGTATAACGACATTTTTAGTTTAATTCTGAAAAATAGATTGTCGGAATACACGTTGAAATTTTATTCCGAAAGTTTGATCAAGTCAGGTTTTAAAACGACACAATATTTGCGAAACTATTGTAAATTGGAATAACTAGATATAAATTAATTTAAAATTTTTTAAATCATTCAAATGAACCAACTTTCTTTAACTTGCTTATTTAAGCTCTTTTTAACCTCCTTTCTTACCTTTTTTCCTTTTTATAAACACCAAGTTTTTAACACAGAAAAAAAGGAATCCTTGATTTAAGTATATTTTTATTCTTGAACGCTATTTGATTGATTTAAGCATAGAATGCTCTTTGTAATCACAAATTTTCATTTGCTTTAATAATAAATAAGTTTGTGTAAAGTATATTTTATCCTTAAAATATATTCTTGTTTTAAAAATCGCATATGGTAAAAACAAACTTAGTCACATTAAACTAAGAATTATTATATTTATTTGAAAGTACCGCTTATATCCGATGCACACTTGTCACTTGTCCTTGCAATATTTATAAGTAAATTTCAGCTCAGCTTCAACCAAGAATATTTTGCACTTTGTTTTAAGGATAAATTATCCTTTATCCAAAATTATTTATATTTGGTGCTATTATAAGGATAAAATATACTTGAATCAAAGCATATTTGCATTCTCTCAAGGATACTGTTTTTTTCTGTGTATATATATATATATATATATATAATATATAACATTCAATCATGATTTTAACTAACAATCTCACTTCATTCTACATACAGAAACGTATTACAAGAGATAAAAGATTGAGGAAATGATCTTTATAAAAACGCATAAAGACTCAATCAATTTACAGAAAGACACAGACAAGTTAAATTCAGTATACTATTCGATTCTTAATATCATATAAAGTTTAGTACTTATAGAATGCTCGATCTGCACACATCGTCTTTCAACGATGCATCACAGTAACGATTTATTTAAACGTGCTTGTGCAATGAAATAAAATTCCGTGGTGTTTAAGTTATCTAATTTACTCTAGATAATATGACACATTTTTATCACTTCGCTTTTATAACTACTATAGTGCCTACTCTTTATTTATCTTTGTTATACGCACACAATGATTTTTGCTCTCTTATCGTTCCTTTTCGTTTAGTTTGTACCTTGCATGCCGGAATACAATTTCAGTGTTCAATACTTTATTATATTGTTATGGAAATCCGTATCATTTTTAATTGGATTGATTGTAATGTTTATATCACACACGCCTAGATTTATCGCGATATATGAGTAATATTTTAATCATGTATTAGTACTTTATTCTTTACTATCAATTCTTATATTCTTGATTGTAATATTTTTTGTATTTAAGAGGATGCCGGAGCGACGGCCAAATTCCGATAAGTTAGCACCACACATATCTAAACATATGCACCTATACACATATACATATGATTGGTTAGCACCACACATATCTAAACATATGCACGTATACAACACATACGCGTGAAAACGTTTTTAATATATAACTTTTTTATTAAACCTGCAATCTCACTTTTAATCGTTTACTTATAATTCTTCATATTATCCTTACCGCGTATACTATATTTCATGCACAGACAAACTGCAGAACTTTTTTATTAAATAAGTATTGTTACGAACTGACACAAAGAAGTCGATAACAAAACTGTAATTTTTTTATTTTTATATGATTTATATATGCAATCATAGCTAACGCGGTCCGTTTTTATAATTACTTTAATCGTAGAAAAGGATTTATTTATCAGTATAGTCAATAAAAAGTTCTTCAAATGTCAGAATATTCATATATTTCAAATGCTTCAAAAGGCAATTTTTTTGCGTAAAGTCTTATAAATATATTTTTTGCCAAATTTTTGCAGTTCTTTTTTATGCGATGTGTCCATCAAGTAGAATGACAAAAAAGTTTATATATAGAAAAACTTACCTCTGAGCATATTATTTGAAATTGTTTGCACGTGAAACTAAAATTCTCAACGTCCGTCAAGCTAATAATTACGTTTTTCAAAATTACTAAAATAATCTCGGTAAGCAAATCCTATATTGTAACTATTATTTATGCAACAAAAATACATATAATAAACAAAATACGATATAATAACAACATGCAGATTGAGCTTTTCTTAATTAATCGATTGATATTCAGTGCATTAACGCACGAGACTTAGTGTATCGAGGACAGCTATAGACTAGGAATGATCAAATGCTTCAGGAAATGGAAGGGACAAAGAATAAAGATATAATATACATATATTTATTTTATCTTTCACACTTGTTTCCGGAACGATATTGCTTTGCCCGGACCCTGAGATTTTTTGGCCTAGCTTCTTTATGAATAGAAAATAATTCATTTTTTTGTACAATTTTCAGGTCACATTTATTATTTGCATTATACTATAGACAATGGATTATCTAGGTCCAAAAATAATAATTTTTGTCTGCACCTAAATTATTTTTATTACAACTTCATTAATTCTTTTTCCTTAATATTATTTTAGAATTGTTTTTATTCTTGCAACAATTATTATTTTTAAACTTTCTCAAATATGTCTTTCTATGTGTTTTTGATAATATTCATAATCATAATAATTATATACTTTAGTCATATTTATATAATTATATACTTTAATCATATTTGTTCTGTTTATAAAAAAATTGAAATGTACAATATATAAAATATGACAGTTTCTCACAGCGAAACATTCAATTAATATCATGAAAGAAAGGCAGCAATTATTTTTCGGACTTTAAAGAAATGTTTTATTTTTTATAAGTGAATACATAAGTTTGTGCAAGTGTAAATATTTAAATATAATTTTATTATTATTAATACATATTTTTTTGAAAATTCTATGTTAATGTTTTATATTCTCTGACCTGTGTCATTTGTCAGAGATTAAACCGCTCTACATATATTTATTTGGTGTATCATATAGAAGAATTTTATATCTTATGCAAAAAAGTCTTAATAGTTTTTTATTGCTTTCCATGAGATAAGGACAATCAATATTTCTGGATTTTATTCCGGCTTTTAATTTATTCTTCGTCGAAAAGAAGAGACGCATGAATCATACTTCTGTACTATTCAAAGTATTATAATTATAAGTCAATATTACTTAAAGTATTATCATTTCTTCTCAATATTTTGCGAAGGACTGCGGCATCGTTTAGATAATACTTTTCTACTAAGTTATTCGGTACATAATGAGTATACCTTCGAATTTATAGAAAAAACTTCCAATCGCTGAATTATTGATCCACTTCAAGGTACACATCAGTATAGCGCCTAAAATAAAATAATTATAAAAAATGAATACACTGTGTTGTATAATGCAAATAATACAAATAAAAATATCACAGAATTTATTAAAATTAAGTAATATAAATTATTTAAAATAATAATTGTACATTTAGAAACATAACACAGATCGTCATTATCAGTTAATAAAATGTAGTATGGTTTCTTCAATCATCTCTCTTGACGTTATATTTCTGCATACATTTATCTTTAAAATAATTCGAAGTACATATATCTTACTGAGATGCGGAATACCATAATAATAAACATCACCGTAACAAAGTCCATCTTCATATTTGTTGTGCCATGCAATTATGACACCAGTGGTAACAATATGTCTAGTTTCGCTTATTTTATGCTTATATGAAACTATCAATCCAACTGCATATTTTACATTCAACGATCTTTCTTTGGAAAATGTTTTATTAGATGAAATATTTACCGACTGAAATATTGGTATAATTATTTTTTTATATTATGAAATTTATGTAATGTAATAATTCGAGTTAATCAACATTTTATAATGATAATTATATATAAATTTTCTAAACGTTATGATATAATGTTTTAAAATATATGTTTAAAATATTATTAATAAATATTCTAAAAAATATTTTAACTGACGTTTTATAAATGTTTTAAAATTATTATTTAGTAACATATATTGCTGAAAATATAATTAAATTATTTTAAAGACGTTAATTTCAACATTACCGAAACCTCTAAATCGATGTCAAAGTTTGTTCATAATGATGTTGCATACAATGTTAAAAACTATATACTTGATAAGAATAATAACGTAGTAGCAATGATTTTTTGCTTACTGGGTAGGTTCTATATTATAGGTTATAGGTTATAGATATAGGTTGCCGAAAAACTAGATAATATTATAAAAGTGGGCAAAGATGTTTTCTCTAGCGATAAGAACATGATAAGTACAAGAATTTGATAAGAACCACAATCACGTGGTCAAAACGTCGTCGAGCTAATAATTATTTACTTGCTAGTTTTTGGTCGATTAATTTCTACAACTTCTATTTAAATACCAGTGACTGCTATTAATAATTTTGAAAATTTATTAAAATTTATATAAATAATTACTAAGTCTACAGATATCTTTTACATGAACTGAGTGCATTAAAAGAACCAATCGGCATCACGGAAAACGGCAACAATTAAAGCGTCACATGCCTTTTTTCAAATAGAATGTGTCTATCAAGTAAAAAACAAAAAGTTTATATATAGAAAAACTTACCTTTGAGCATATTCTTTGAAATTGCTTGCACGTGGAACTAAAATTCTCAACGTTCAGCTAATAGTTATGTTTTTCAAAATTATTAAAATAATCTTGGTAAGCAAATTCCTTATTGTAACTATTATTTATGCGACAAAAATATATATAATAAACACAAATACAATATAAAACAACTTGCAGTTTGAGTTTGTTTTAATGACTCGATTGATTTTCTATGCACTAACGCACAAGGCTTAGTGTATCATAGACAGCCATAAACTAGGAATGACCAAATGTATCAAGAAGTGGTAAGGACAAAGAAAAAAGATAAAATAAATATTTCTTTTATCTTTTAATCGTGTTTCCACAACGATATTTTTTCGGCCGTACCCTGGAATTTTTGGTTTAGCTTCTTTATTAGTAAGAAAAAATTCATTTTCTTTTGTAATTTTCAGGTCTCGTTCTATTGTTTGCATTATATTGTACTATAGACTATGAATTATCTGCGTCATAAATAATAGCAATTTTGCTTGCGACTTAGTTATTTCTATTACAACTTTATGAATTCTTTTTCTTTAATATTATTTTAGAATTGTTTCTATTTCTGCAACAAAATCTAGTTATCTCTAAAATTTCTCAAAATTATCTTTTTATGTGTTTTTGATCATGTTCATAACCATAATAATTGCATACTAGAAATCATATATGTTCTGTTCATAAAATTTGGAATATACAATATATTAAGTATGACAGTTTCTCACAGCAAAACATTTAATCGATATAAAATATAAGCAGCAATTATTTTCGAGACTTTAAAGTAATGTTTTAATTTTTGTAAGTAAATACATAAGTTTGTGTGCGTAAATATTTAAAAATAATTTTATCATTATCAATGCATATTTTTTTTTGTTTGATTTGTGTCATTTGTCAGAGATTAGACCGCTCTACATATATTTATTTTGTGTGTTATATTAGAAGAATTTTGTATCTTTTACAATATAATAACGATATAGTAACGATAAATAAACATATGCTCATGTATATATGTGTAATGTAAACGTTCCAAGCAATATAATATACATCTTAACGTACATTGTAGTTGGCTCTTCGATATATTAATTTAATATAACTAAATCACAGAGCCAAACATGCGAAAATTAAATATTTTTTCGCGGATTTTTGAAACCTGACAGATTGTTAGAATATTAATTGGAAACTATGTCTTTTGGTTTAAGACAAACAGTTCCTGATAATTTTGTTACATTGAGAATAAGCAAATGCTTTCGGAAAGAAGAGGAAAAAAAAAGAAAAAGATATAATATATATTTCTTTTATTAAAAAATGTATTTTTATATTAGATAAAAGTTATTGATATATAAGAAAAGTTATTTTTAATTATTAATATATAATATTAAGTTTTAAAAATTAATAGTGTAATATTAAATGGCTGTTCTTTCTGTACCAAAGTTTATCGTATAAAATTATATAAAAACTACATATTATTTTGTACTAAATATTTTTTAACACATATATAAATTGTATTTTTTATAATAAAAATTAAAACTTAACAAAATTTATTTAATTGTTACTTTTAATTAAAATTTACAATTGAAAAATATCCTAAATCAATTCATAATTAATCCAAAGTTGGCTATATTTCGAACATCATGTAGACGCACCAAGTTGTGACTAATGTACATTCAATAGACGTTCATTGAATGTCCGATAAATTTTATTTGGATTGGATAATAATCCTTAAGGTTTGCCAGTAATAATTAATAAAAATCTTTCTTCAAAGTTAAAAGTCGACCAAACTGGCAATCATTTATTATAAATAATTAGTTGAAATACAACGTTTCGGCTGTCATTGCAGCCCTTTTCAAGTAAATCTATAAAAAGTTACGTAAAAATAATTATAATTTTGATACACTTCATCGCTACAAATAATTATACATTCAAATACAAAAATATGCTACATACCAAATTAATACAGTAAATAAAATCCACTGCAAACCACCGTAAATTCAAGTCAAGTGTGAAAACCATTGAAGTTATTTACTTCTGTCAGTTCTACATTCTTCATCAAAACAATGATGAATATTGTTGGTGGTTTGCAGTGAACTTGATTTACTGTATTAATTTGATATGTAGCATATTTTTGTATTTGAATGTATAATTATTTGTAGCGATAAAGTGTATCAAAATTATAATTATTTTTATGTAACTTTTTATAGATTTACTTGAAAAGGGCTGCAATGACAGCCGAAACATTGTATTTCACTAATTATTTATAATAAGTGATTGCCAGTTTGGTTGACTTTTAACTTTGAGGAGAGATTTTTATTTATTTGGATTGTTTAAGAATATCCCAATGTCCAGGAACGAATTTTTACTGGACATACATTAGACATCTTTGTGTTATCTGGGTTTAATATATCAATCTCCGCGGAACTTTCTTCTTTTTTTTCTGGATAATAATTAACAACGCTTATGTAGATCATAACGTCTTTGTTCAAAAGGCTATACAATATATTGTATATACAGAAACTCGAGATATCGAAAATAATACGTTGAACTTTTAATAGTACTTATTGTTGGAGATCACCTAACTCTGAATAGAAAAAAATGAGATAACAGACTTAAACAAAAGCAATCAATGAAGAAGACAGCTCCGCGAAGATTAATATACTTATATTTAGATAGGACAAATATGTCTAATGTATGTTCAGTAAACTCTTTCTAAAAAATTTGTAAAATATTGTTCAAAAAATGGCAATTGCGCCAATAGAAGCATTCGAACTATAATAATAATCTTACGTTTATTGAACATTGTGCAATATGTATTAATAATAATCAGATACAAACTTAGACACGCAAATATATATTTAATTAAATTCTCTGTGAATTTACTGTTGATTTAATTCTTTCAACAAACACCAACAGTTCTCGCTCTTTCTTTCTCTTGCTTATAGCAAAAACATCGTTAATTTCTCAAATAACTTTTGACCAGAAATGATAGTTAAATCGACGTCGTATTGATGTCGAATCAAAGTCGAATTGGTCGGATCAATATCGATTCGACGTCTTTTCGATCGATCATTTCTGATAAGGCCTCGTTTACACTTTCATCCCGCCCTTCTCATGTAAAATTCTACTCTTGCATATTGTCGACGCCAGAAACAGCCCTTTTTACAGAACTCTATGTTCTATTAGCCATTATTTGACTAATTATCGTCAGATTGCTGTTGGAGCAGCTCGGTGTTCAGCTCGGTATTGTTGTAGATCATCGTTAGCTGCTCCTGCTGTTTCCTGCACTGTCTACAATTCCAATTGTACACGCAAAACAACGTCACAAAGACGATGAAGAGGCATACCAAAACACACGAGACAAAGATTAACCAAACCGATCGAGATTTTTCGGGCTTTATCTTCTGCTGTATATCCATTTCCATCTTCTGCTGTATGTCCTCCTCTATCATCTGCTGCATCATGGCCAAACACTCGTTAAACAGCTCGTACGTCCGATTGCTGAAACTCACGTTGGCGCAGGTCTTGTTTAGAGCCGATGAATAGGGGCATTTGTAAAGTTTGGGCTTCATTTTGATCTGACGCAGCTTCACCCAGGCGTTAAACGTCTGACAATCGCAGCTGCGCGCGTTGAATCTGATATTACTCCAGGTCAGATCGAGATCATTTAGCGAGCAGAACGGCGCCAGATCCTCGGTGCTGATCGAGGTGATTTCGTTGTCGGCCAGATTCAGATTAAGGAGAGTCGGCTGGAGTCCTATGTTCGGGATCACGTTTAGTCTGTTATTGGACAGCTGCAGTATTCTGAGAGGCGAGGTGACATTCACTTTTAACATGGAATCGTAGAGCTGGTTGGAGTCGAGATAGAGCGTATGAAAATACGGTAATTGGAAAAGACTTGTAGGCAGAACTTTGCAAAAGTTGTTCCTGAGATCCAGCACCTGCAGGTAAGGCTGATTGGCAAAAGCTGCCTCTTTGATTATAAAGATGAAATTGTGACGTAGATAGATGAATTCCAGTTTCTTGTATGGATGCAGACTGTCGTTATTCAATATTTCCAGCATATTTTTGGTTATATTCAGCACCTAGCAAACAGAGAAGAAATGTCGGAGAATTTTAATCGATCTACGCAGAATATCCTTTGAACAATGCATTTTAGAATGCTTCATACAAAAGTTTTTTTACTTTGAGGAGAATATAAGATTGGAGCAAATTTTATTATAATATTATTTATAACTTATAAATCATAATTTCATAATTATTGTAAAAAAATTAAAATTAAAATGGAGTCTCACGAATTTCTACAACTCGTTACAAATTTCTCTATTTTATGCAAATTATAGATAAGATTTAAAAAATCCTTACAATATATATATATATATATATATATATATGCAGAAAATATTCTTTTATAATGGTAAAAATATACATAACAATTATTTTATTGCAATTGTAAATAAAATATATTTAAAAGACAATCTTACTTGTATGTCCGGATTCAAATCTAACGGGATTTCGTGCGATCTCAATTGGAAACATCGCGCTTCCAATACCGAATTAGATGTGATGTAGCGGCACGTATTCGGAAGCGGATTCTGGTCCATTATATTCGCGTATTTCGATGAATTCACGAAAACATTCGGTACTGAGGCTACGACGAAGCCCAGTAGAAGAAACCCGTTGAAGAGAAAGATTGTCATATCTGCAACAGAATCAGCGCAATCGTACGCTTATAAACTTTGCTCAAATTTTTCTGCAACCGAATAATTAATCGCTCGCGAAGATGCAATATTTGGGATTCTCTCTTTACACCGCTACATTATCATTAATGTTATTTTAGTATCACGCAATATCTTTCCATCTTTCTTTATTAAATTTTAAATTATATATTTGTAATATAATATATTATTTGATATTTTATATATATTCTATTATTATGTATTATCAAGGACAGCACAAGTAAATGATCAGTCTGGCTACGGTTCAGGTGTTTATTTTTGACACAGACATTTTCGGTCAAGTGTCTGTAATTAATATATCTAACTTAAGGGAATGCCGGAGGTATGTGTTTACCAATCAAATGCGAATATTTAGTTTCTTTTAAATAACTTTTTGTTGACTATACTAATGAATAAATTATTAATAATTCATGTTTCCTGTGAGATTACGAAGGAAAGACGAATATCACTAATAACAAGCGTCAGACAGATACAAATGAAGCGCGTATAACGACATTTTTAGTTTAATTCTGAAAAATAGATTGTCGGAATACACGTTGAAATTTTATTCCGAAAGTTTGATCAAGTCAGGTTTTAAAACGACACAATATTTGCGAAACTATTGTAAATTGGAAATAGTAGATATAAATTAATTTTAAAATTTCTTAAATCACATTCAAATGAACCAACTTCCTTTAACTTGTTTATTTAAGCTTATCCTTCTTTCTTACCTTTTTTCTTTCTTATAAACACGGGTTTTTAATATAGGAAAATATAGATTGAATGATTTAAAGTGCACAAAGATATTCTCGATATATTTAGCAAGTAAAATAATATATAATACATATAATATATTATAAAATAATATATAAAATATATAATATGTAATCTTATATATGTATATATATATATATATATATATATATATATAACATTCAATCATGATTTTAACTAACAATCTCACTTCATTCTACATACAGAAACGTATTACAAGAGATAAAAGATTGAGGAAATGATCTTTATAAAAACGCATAAAGACTCAATCAATTTACAGAAAGACACAGACAAGTTGAATTCAATATACTATTCGATTCTTAATATCATATAAAGTTTAGTACTTATAGAATGCTCGATCTGCACACATTGTCTTTCAACGATGCATCACAGTAACGATTTATTTTAAACGTGCTTGTGCAATGAAATAAAGTTCCGTGGTGTGTTTAAGTTATCTAATTTACTCTAGATAATATGACACATTTTTATCACTTCGCTTTTATAACTACTATAGTGCCTACTCTTTATTTATCTTTGTTATACGCACACAATGATTTTTGCTCTCTTATCGTTCCTTTTCGTTTAGTTTGTACTTTGCATGCCGGAATATAATTTCAGTGTTCGATACTTTATTATATTGTTATGGAAATCCGTATCATTTTTAATTAGATTGATTGTAATGTTTATATCACACACGCCTAGATTTATCGCGATATATGTGTAATATTTTAATCATGTATTAGTACTTTATTCTTTACTATCAATTCTTATATTCTTGATTGTTATATTTTTTGTATTTATGGGGATGCCGGAGCGACGGCCAAACTCCGATAAGTTAGCACCACACAAATCTAAACATATGCACCTATACACATATACATATAATTGGTTAGCACCACACATATCTAAACATATGCACGTATACAACACATACGCGTGAAAACGTTTTTAATATATAACTTTTTTATTAGACTTGCAATCTCACTTTTAATCGTTTACTAATAATTCTTCATATTATCCTTACCGCGTTTACTATATTTCATGCACAGACAAACTGCAGAACTTTTTTATTAAATAAGTATTGTTACAAACTGACACAAAGAAGTTGATAACAAAACTGTAATTTTTTTATTTTTATATGATTTATATATGCAATCATAGCTAACGCGGTCCGTTTTCATAATTACTCTAATCGTGAAAAAGGATTTATTTATCAGTATAGTCAATAAAAAGTTCTTTAAATGTCAGAATATTCATATATTTCTAATGCTTCAAAAGGCAATTTTTTGCGTAAAGTCTTATAAATATATTTTTCGCCAAGTTTTTGCAAAGTTCCTTTTTATGCAATGTGTCCATCAAATAGAATGACAAAAAAGTTTATATATAGAAAAACTTACCTCTGAGCATATTATTTGAAATTGTTTGCACGTGAAACTAAAATTCTCAACGTCCGTCAAGCTATTAATTACGTTTTTCTAAATTACTAAAATAATCTCGGTAAGCACATTCAATATTGTAACTATTATTTATGCAACAAAAATATATATAATAAACAAAATACGATATAAAAACAACATGCAATTTGAGCTTTTCTTAATTAATCGATTGATATTCAGTGCATTAACACACGAGACTTAGTGTATCGAGGACAGCTATAGACTGGGAAAAATCAAATGCTTCAGGAAATGGAAGGGTCAGAAAATAAAGATATAATATACATATATTTATTTTATCTTTTACACTTGTTTCCGGAACGATATTGCTTTGCCCGGACCCTGAGATTTTTTGGCCTAGCTTCTTTATGAATAGAAAATAATTCATTTTTTTGTACAATTTTCAGGTCACATTCTAATATTTGCATTATACTATAGACAATGGATTATCTAGGTCCAAAAATAATAATTTTTGTCTGCACCTAAATTATTTTTATTACAACTTCATTAATTCTTTTTCCTTAATATTATTTTAGAATTGTTTTTATTCCTGCAACAATTAGTTATTTTTAAACTTTCTCAAATATGTCTTTCTATGTGTTTTTGATAATATTCATAATCATAATAATTATATACTTTAGTCATATTTATATAATTATATACTTTAATCATATTTGTTCTGTTTATAAAAAAATTGAAATGTACAATATATAAAATATGACAGTTTCTCAAACCGAAACATTTAATCGATATCATGACATAAAAGCAGCAATTATTTTTCGGACTTTGAAAAAATGTTTTATTTTTTATAAGTGAATACATAAGTTTGTGCAAGTGTAAATATTTAAATATAATTTTATTATTATTAATACATATTTTTTTGAAAATTCTATGTTAATGTTTTATATTCTCTGACCTGTGTCATTTGTCAGAGATTAGACCGCTCTACATATATTTATATATATATATATATATTTGGTGTATCATATAAAGAATTTTATATCTTATGCAAAAAAGCCTTAATAGTTTTTTATTGCTTTCCATGAGATAAGGACAATCAATATTTCTGGATTTTATCGCGGCTTTTAATTTATTCTTCGTCGAAAAAAAGAGACGCATGAATCATACTTTTGTACTATTCAAAGTATTATAATTATAAGTCAATATTATTTAAAGTATCATTTCTTCTCAATATTTTGCGAAGGACTGCGGCATCGTTTGAATAATACTTTTCTACTATGTTATTCGGTACATAATGAGTATACCTTCGAATTTATAGAAAAATCTTCCAATCGCTGAATTATTGATCCACTTCAAGGTACACATCAGTATAGCGCCTAAAATAAAAAATAATTATAAAAAATGAATACACTGTGTTGTATAATGCAAATAATAAAAATAAAAATATCATTTATTAAGATAAAGTAATATATATCATTTAAAATAATAATCGTACATTTAGGAACATAACACAGATCGTCATTATCAGTTAATAAAATGTAGTATGGTTTTTTCAATCATCTCTCTTGACGTTATATTTCTGCATACATTTATCTTTAAAATAATTCGAAGTACATATATCTTACTGAGATGCAGAATACCATATTAATAAACATCACCGTAACAAAGTCCATTTTCATATTTGTTGTGCCATGCAATTATGACACCAGTGGTATCAATATGTCTAGTTTCGCTTATTTTATGCTTATATGAAACTATCAATCCAACTGCATATTTTACATTCAACGATCTTTCTTTGGAAAATGTTTTATTAGATGAAATATTTACTGACTGAAATATTGGTATAATTATTTTTTTATATTATAAAATTTATGTAATGTAATAATTAGAATTAATCAACATTTTATAATGTTGATTATATATAAATTTTCTAAACGTTATGATATAATGTTTAAAAAATATATGTTTAAAATATTATTAATAAATATTCTAAAAAATATTTTAACTGACGTTTTATAAATGTTTTAAAATTATTATTTAGTAACATATACCATATTGTTGAAAATATAATTAAATTATTTTAAAAACGTTAATTTTAACATTACCGAAACCTCTAAATCGATGTCAAAGTTTGTTTATAATGATGTTGCATACAATGTTAAAAACTATATTCTTGACAAGAATAATAACGTTGTAGCAATGATTTTTTGCTTACTGGGTAGGTTCTATATTATAGGTTATAGGTTATAGATATATGATATGTTGCCGAAAAAACTAGATAATATCATAAAAGTGGACAAAGATGTTTTCTCTAGCGATAAGGACATGATAAGAATTTGATAAGGACCACAATCACGTGGTCAAAACGTCGTCAAGCTAAATAAATTATTTACTTGTTAGTTTTTGGTCGATTAATTTCTACAACTCTTATTTAAATACCAGTGACTGCTATTAATAATTTTGGAAATTTATTTATATAAATAATTACTAAGTCTACAGATATCTCTTTACATGAACTGACAATGAGTGCATTGAAAGAACCAATCGGCATAACGGAAAAACGGAAACAATTAAAGCGTCACATGCCTTTTTTCAAATAAGGTGTGTCTATCAAGTAAAAAAAAAAAAAGTTTATATATAGAAAAACTTACCTTTGAGCATATCCTTTGAAATTGCTTGCACGTGGAACTAAAATTCTCAACGTTCAGCTAATAGTTATGTTTTTCAAAATTATTAAAATAATCTTGGTAAGCAAATCCTTTATTGCAACTATTATTTATGCGACAAAAATATATATAATAAACACAAATAAAATATAAAAACAACTTGCAGTTTGAGTTTTTTTTAATGACTCGATTGATTTTCTATGCACTAACGCACGAGGCTTAGTGTATCGTGAACAGCCATAGGCTGGGAATGACCAAATGCCTCAAGAGTAATAAGGACAAAGGAAAAAGATAAAATAAATATTTCTTTTATCTTTTATTTGTGTTTCCACAACGATACTTCTTCGGCCGTACCCTGGAATTTTTTGGTCTAGCTTCTTTATTATATAGTAGAAAAAAATTCATTTTCTTTTGTATAATTTTCAGGTCTCGTTCTATTGTTTGCATTATATTATAGACTATGAATTATCTGCGTCATAAAATAATAGCAATATTTGCTTGCATATAAGTTATTTCTATTACAACTTTATGAATTCTTTTTTTTTAATATTATTTTAGAATTGTTTCTATTTCTGCAACAAAATCTAGTTATCTCTAAAATTTCTCAAAATTATCTTTTTATGTGTTTTTGATAATGTTCATAACCATTATAATTGCAATATACTAAAAATTCATAATTGATCCAAAGTTGGCTATATTTCGAACATCGTGTAGACGTACCAAGTTGTGACTAATGTACATCCAATAAACGTTCATTGAATGTCCGATAAATTTTATTTGGATTGGATAATAATTCTTAAGGTTCGCCAGTAATAATTAATAAATCTTTCTTCAAAGTTAAAAGTCGACCAAACTGGCAATTATTTATTATAAATAATCAATAAAAATACAACGTTTCGGCTGTCATTGCAACCTTTTCAAGTAAATCTATAAAAAGTTACGTAAAAATAATTATAATTTGATACACTTCATCGCTACAAATAATTATACATTCAAATACAAAAATATGCTACATACCAAATTAATACAGTAAATAAAATTCACTGCAAACCACCGACAATATTCACCATTGTTTTGATGAACAATGTAGAACTGACAGAAGTAAGCAAGAAATAAATAAATGTTAACTGTTAGCAAGAATCTTAGTCACTAACGCGTTAAGAAAATAGAGACAAAACTAATGTGTCTCTCGCAATCTAAAACATCATAACAAGGTTAAATATAAAATAAATAGGTAAAAATAAAAATAAAAATAATTTAAATAGCGTCAAGAACACGATCATAAATCCCACTAAAATTCTCCGTATCTTTATGTAAATTAATACTTTTACGTTGTTTTTTTATATAAAACATTTCTGCAATTTCTCTTTTTCTTGTTTGTTTTTCTTGATGCAAAATCACCGAAGAATCCCAACGGAACTCATGATGGTTGCAAGTCCAATGCAAACTAACAAATGCAATGTCGTGTCTTTTTTAATATTATTTCTATGTTCTTTGATGCGCGTTTCTAAATGTCTCTTTGTCTGGCCAATATACGTAGAATCACAATTCGCACATTCAATTTTATTCACGACATCAGTTCTTTTTAAGTTATGTATCTATCCTATCTTTTCTCCTTTTTATCAGTGTGTCTAATTTTTTTGGAACGGTATATAATACAATTTTATTTTTATTAATGCAACGCGTAATATTTTCGCTCAAATCTTTAATGTAAGGCAACACTATACTATTTTCGCGCATCAAATTTATTTCGGTTGGATGAGCTAAGATTACCGCCAAATTTAATCACTCTACGTCTTTTGTTAATGTATTTGTTTATAACCATTAACGGCTAACAATTATTACGAAGAATTCTTTTGACTATATTAATGTTTTCCTCGTGAAACATAGGGTCGGCGAGTAAAATAGCCCTATCCACTAAACTTGTGATCACACTGATTTTATATCTCATCAGATGATTTGATAAAAAATTTATATATCGGCCTAAAAACGTAGGCTTACGGAACTAATTAGTTGTCAATCTGCCCCCAATCCGTATAACATTTGTGTCCAAAAAACTCAGAGAACAATTGTTCTCTAGTTCGGACGTAAATATAATTCGAGTGTGAAAACCATAGAACTTGCTTACTTCTGTCAGTTCTACATTCTTCATCAAAACAATGGTGCATATTGTCGGTGGTTTGCAGTGAACTTGATTTACTGTATTAATTTGGTATGTAGCATATTTATGTATTTGAATGTATAATTATTTGTAGCGATGAAGTGTATCAAAATTATAATTATTTTTATGTAACTTTTTATAGATTTACTTAAAAAAGGCTGCAATGACAGCCGAAACGTTATATTTCAACTAATTATTTATAATAAATGATTGCCAGTTAAGTCGACTTTTAACTTTGAGGAAAGATTTTTATTTATTTGGATTGTTTAAGAATATCTCAATGTCCAAGAACGAATTTTTACTGAACATACATTAGACATCTTTGTGCTATCTGGATTTAATATATCAATCTCCGCGGAACTCTCTTCTTTTTTCTGGATAATAATTAACAACGCTTATGAAGATCATAACGTCTTTGTTCAAAAGGCTATACAATATATTGTATATACAGAAACTCGAGATATCGAAAATAATACGTAGGGTTTTTCAATTATTCCGAAATGTAAAGTGGAGGATATGCTTACGATTTTTAATAGCTTTCACACTCGACTAAAGTTTACGTTTGAATTGGAGAACAATTGTTCCTTAAGTTTTTTAGACACAAACGTTATACGAGTTAATGGCAAATTGACGACTGACTGGTTCCGTAAGCCTACGTTTTCAGGCCGTTATATAAATTTCTTTCGAACCATCCGATGCGTTATAAAATTAGTGTGATCACAAGCCTCGTGGACAGGGCTATTTTATTCGCTGACCCTATGTTTCACGAGAAAAACATCATCTTAGTTAAACGAATTCTTCGTAACAATTGTTACCCGTCAACAGTCATAAACAAAATTGTTAACAGGAGACTTAGGGCGATTAAATTTGGCGGTAATTTTGGTGCGTCTAATCGAGATAAATTTGATACACGAAATGTTATAGTGTTGCCGTATATTAGAGATTTGAGCGAAAATATTACTCGTTGCATAAACAAAATGGAATCGGTGTATTATATACCGTTCCAAAAAAATTAGACACATTGATAAAAAGAGGAAAAGATAGTATTGATAACTTAAAAAGAACCGATGTCGTTTATAAGATCGAATGCGCGAATTGTGACTCTACATATATTGGACAAACAAAGCGACATTTAGAAACACGTATTAAGGAACATAAAAATAACATCAAAAAAGACACGACATCACACTCACAATCAGTTGTTAGTTTGCATCGGACTTGCAACGATCATGAGTTCCGTTGGGATTCTCCTGTGATTCTGCATCAAGAAAAACAAACAAGAAAAAGAGAAATAGCAGAAATGTTCTATATAAAAAACCAAAGAAAAAGCATTAATTTACAAAAAGATACGGAGAATTTCAGTGGGATTTATGATCGCGTTCTTGAAGCTATTTAATATATTATATTGTCATATGTTACATATTTATTTATTTATTTATTTATTTATTTGACTTTGTATTGACGGTTAAAATTGCGAAAGACACAGTACTTTGGTTTTCTATTTCTCAACGCGTAGTGACTAAGTTTCCTGCTAACAGTCAACATCTATTTATTTCGTGCTTACTTCTGTCAGTTATACATTGTTCATCAAAACAATGGTTAATTTTGTCGGGGGTTTGCTGTAAATATGATTTATTGTATTAATCTGGTATGTAAACATATATATTTTTGTAAATTTATAATTATTTGTATGATTAAGCGCATTAAGAGTATATTTATATGTATATAATTGTTTATAGATTACTTGAAAAGGGCTGCAATGACAGCCGAAACGTTGTAAATTAAACTAATTATTTAAAATAAATTATTGCCAGTCTGGTCGACTTTAAAATTGGAGGAGAGATTTTCATTATTTATTACTGGCGACTCTTAAGGATTATCATTTATAATATACTTATATTCAGATAGAACAAAAATGTCTAATGTATGTCCAGTGAACTCTTTCTAAAAAATTTGTAAAATATTGTTCAAAAATGGCAATCGCGCCAGGAGAAGCATTCGAACTATTATAATAATCTTACGTTTATTGCACATTGTGCGATATGTATTAATAATAATCAGATACAAACTTAGGCACGCAAATATATATCCGATTAAATCTCTGTGAATCCACTGTTGATTTAATTTTTTCAACAAACACCAACAGTTCTTGCTCTCTCTCTTTCTCTTACTTATAGCAAAAACATCGTTAAATTCTCAAATAACTTTTGACCAAAATGATAGTTAAATCGACGTCGTATTGATGTCGAATCAAAGTCGAATTGGTCGGATCAATATCGATTTGACGTCTTTTCGATCGATCATTTCTGATAAGACCTCGTTTACACTTTCATCCCGCCTTTCTCATGTAAAATTTTATTCTCGCATATTGTCGACGCCAGAAACAGTTCTTCTTACAAGACTATATGTTTTATTAGCCATTATTTGACTAATTATCGTCAGGTTGCTGTTGGAGCAGCTCGGTGTTCAGCTCGGTATTGTAGATCATCGTTAGCTGCTCTTGTTGTTTCCTACGCTGTTTACGATTCCAATTGTACACGCAAACAACGTCACAAAGACGATGAAGAAAAATACCGAGACACACTGGGCGAAGATTAACCAAACCGATCGAGGTTTCTCGGGCTCCATCTTCTGCTGTATATCCTTTTCCATCTTCTGCTGTATGTCCTCCTTTATCATCTGCTGTATCATGGCCAAACACTCGTTAAACAGCTCGTACGTCCGATTGCTGAAACTCACGTTGGCGCAGGTCTTGTTTAGAGCCGATGAATAGGGGCATTTGTAAAGTTTGGGCTTCATCTTGATCTGACGCAGCTTCACCCAGGCGTTAAACGTCTGACAATCGCAGCTGCGCGCGTTGAATCTGATATCATTCCCGGTCAGATCGAGCTCTTTAGCGAGCAAAACGGCGCCAGATTCTCGGTGCTGATCGAGATGATGCGGTTGTTAAACAGATCGAGATTAAGAAGGGTCGGCTGGAGTCCTATGTTCGGGATCACGCTTAGTTTGTTATTGGACAGCTGCAGTATTTTGAGAGGCGAGGTGGCATTTACTTTGAACACGGAATCGTAAAGCTGGTTGTGGCCGAGATAGAGCGTGTGAAGATACGGTAATTGGAAGAGACTTTTGGACAGAATTTCGCAAAAGTTGTTCCTGAGATCCAGCACCTGCAGGTAAGGCTGATTGGCAAAGGCTGCCTCTTTGATGATATGGAAAAAATTGTAACGTAGATAGATGAATTTCAATTTCTTGTATGGATGCAGACTGTTGTTACTCAATATTCGTATTTGAGTCCAGGTAATATTCAGCACCTAGCAAATAAGAGAGGAACATCAGGAGTGTTATCAGGGATGAAACGTATACAGAGTTGGCGATTTTAATATATCCACACGAATATCCTTTGAACAATGCATTTTAGAATGCTTCATACAAAAGTTTTTTTACTTTGAGAAGAATATAAGATTCGAGCAAATTTTATTATAATATTATTTATCACATATATATCATAATTTCATAATTATTGTAAAAAAAAATAGTGCCTCACGGATTTCTAGAACTAGTTATGAATCCTTTTATTTTATGCGATTTGCAAGTAAGGTAAAAAAATCGTCGCTATATATGCCAAAAAATCTTTTTATAATGAAAAAAATACATGATTGTTTTTAATTGCAATTTTTAATAAGATATATTTAAAAGACAATCTCACCCGTATGTCCGGATTCAAATGTAACGGAATTTTGTGCGATTTTAATACAGAGCATCGCGCTTCCAATACCGAATTAGCTGTGATGTAGCAGCACGTATTCGAAAGCGGCTTCTGGTCCATTGTTTCCGCGCATTCCGATGAATCCACGGAAACATCCGGTACTGGGGCTACGACGAAACTTAGTAAAAGAAACCCGTTGAAGAGAAAGATTCTCATATCTGCAACAAAATCAGCACAAACGCTTATAAACTTTGCCTAAATTTTGCCGCAACCGAACAATTAATTGCTCGACGAAGATGCAATATTTGAGATTTCCTCTTTGCACTGCCACGTTATCATTTATGTTATTTTAGTATCACGCAATATCTCTCCATTTTTCTCTATTACATTTTAAATTATATATTTGTAATATAATACATTATTTGATATTTTATGTATATTATATTATTACGTATTATCAAGAACAGCGAAAGTAGATGATCAGTCTGGCTACAGTTCAAGTGTTTATTCTTGACACCGACATTTTCGATCAAGTGTCTGTAATTAATACATCTAACTTAAGGGGATGCCGGAGGTATGTTTTTACCGACCAAATGCGAATTTAGTTTTTTTTTAAATAACTTTTTATTGACTATACTGATGAATAAATCCTTTTCCACGATTAAAGTAATTATAAAAACGGACCGCGTTAGCTATGATTGCATATATAAATCATATAAAAATAAAAAAATTACAGTTTTGTTATCGACTTCTTTGTGTCAGTTCGTAACAATACTTATTTAATAAAAAAGTTCTGCAGTTTGTCTGTGCATGAAATATAGTAAACGCGGTAAGGATAATATGAAGAATTATTAGTAAACGATTAAAAGTGAGATTGCAAGTCCAATAAAAAAGTTATATATTAAAAACGTTTTCACGCGTATGTGTTGTATACGTGCATATGTTTAGATATGTGTGGTGCTAACCAATCATATGTATATGTGTATAAGTGCATATGTTTAGATATGTGTGGTGCTAACTTATCGGAGTTTGGCCGTCGCTCCGGCATCTCCTTAAATACAAAAAATATGACAATCAAGAATATAAGAATTGATAGTAAAGAATAAAGTACTAATACATGATTAAAATATTACTCATATATCGCGATAAATCTAGGCGTGTGTGATATAAACATTACAATCAATCCAATTAAAAATGATACGGATTTCCATAACAATATAATAAAGTATTGAACACTGAAATTGTATTCCGGCATGCAAGGTACAAACTAAACGAAAAGGAACGATAAGAGAGCAAAAATCATTGTGTGCGTATAACAAAGATAAATAAAGAGTAGGCACTATAGTAGTTATAAAAGCGAAGTGATAAAAATGTGTCATATTATCTAGAGTAAATTAGATAACTTAAACACACCACGGAACTTTATTTCATTGCACAAGCACGTTTAAAATAAGTCGTTACTGTGATGCATCGTTGAAAGACGATGTGTGCAGATCGAGCATTCTATAAGTACTAAACTTTATATGATATTAAGAATCGAATAGTATATTGAATTCAACTTGTTTGTGTCTTTCTGTAAATTGATTGAGTCTTTATGCGTTTTTATAAAGATCATTTCTTCAATCTCTTATCTCTTGTAATACGTTTCTGTATGTAGAATGAAGTGAGATTGTTAGTTAAAATCATGATTGAATGTTATATATATTATATATATATATATATATATATATATATATATATATATATATATAAGATTACATATTATATATTTTATATATTATTTTATAATATATTATATGTATTATATATTATTTTACTTGCTAAATATATCGAAGATATTTTTTGTGAACCTCAAATCATTCAATCGATATTTTTCTATATTAAAAACCCGTGTTTATAAGAAGGAAAAAGGTAAAAAGGAAAATAAAAAGCTTAAATAAGCAAGATAAAGGAAGTTGGTTACCCGGCGAGATAGTTTGAGAAAAAATTTTTAAAAAGAGAAATAAAAGAAAAGAAGATAAATTGGTAAAACTTTTCCAATTGTCCGAGGTATCTCTTGTAATGTTTATTTATACGCGCAATATCGATATTTCCGTAGCTTGATTCAGTATCGTGTGAAAGAGGAAGAGGAAGAGAGAAAAAGACCATTATAGAATCATAATAGCTTCAGCTTCTAGCGTAATTACATTTATGTGCCTTTCGAGCGCTCTTGAAGAGACAGGATGGTATTTTTTTAGCTGCGTATTTTTGTTAACTTTGTATTTCGACATTTAAGGATTAAAATGCCCCTCGAAAAAAATCATTTTTTTATTTCTGAGTTAATACCATCGAAATGATAAAAGATACAGAAAATGTTTTAAATAAAAGTTATGTGGTTTGTAATGCTTATGGTTTTTATTTATTACAAAATGATTATTGTGAAAGAAAAATTTACTCATATATGTATATTATTTATTGCTACACTATTGTTCTAGAATATTTAAATATATAGAAAGTGAAGAATTTATATATAAATTTTAATCGTTTTTTATAAATTTTTATATCTATAAATATATAAGCTATGTTTATAATATATATATATATATATATATTTATATAATTATAAATTATTAAATATAATATACATACATAAATTGTAATATATAAATTTTTTATTAATAATTCATGTTTCCTGTGAGATTACGAAGGAAAGACGATTATCACGAGTAACGAGCGTCTGACAGATACGAATGGAGCGCGTATAACGACATTTCTAGTTTAATTCTAAAAAATAGATTGTCGGAATACACCTTGAAATTTTATTCCGAAAGTCTGATCAAGTCAGGTTTTAAAACGACACAATATTTGCAAAACTATTGTAAATTTGAAAAAACTAGATATAAATTAATTTTAAAATTTCTTAAATCACATTCATTTTTGAAATTTTTTAAATGTCATTATATTTATATACTTCAAATGCTTTAAATGGCAATTTTTTGCGTAAAGTCTTCTAAATATATTTTTCGCCAAGTTTTTGCAAAGTTCCTTTTTATGCGATGTGTCCATCAAGTAGAATGACAAAAAAGTTTATACATAGAAAAACTTACCTCTGAGCATATTCTCTGAAATTGCACGTGAAACTAAAATTCTCAACGTCCGTCAAGTTAATAGATACGTTTTTCAAAATTACTAAAATAATCTCGGTAAGCAAATCCTATATCGTAACTATTATTTTACAACAAAAATATATATAATAAACAACATACAATATAAAAACAACTTGCAATTTGAGTTTTTCTTAATTAATCGATTGATATTCAGTGCATTAACGCACGAGACTTAGAGTATCGCGGACAGCTATAGACTGGGAATGATCAAATGCTTCAGGAAATGGAAGGGACAAAGAATAAAGATATAATATACATATATTTATTTTATCTTTCACACTTGTTTCCAGAACGATATTGCTTAGCCCGGACCCTGAGATTTTTTGCCCTAGCTTCTTTATGAATAGAAAATGATTCATTTTTTTGTACAATTTTCAGGTCACATTGTAATATTTGCATTATACTATAGACAATGGATTATCTAGGTCCAAAAATAATAATTTTTGCCTGAACCTAAATTATTTTTATTACAACTTTATTAATTCTTTTTCCTTAATATTATTTTAGAATTGTTTTATTCCTGCAAAACCTAGTTATTTTTAAATTTTTTCAATTATATTTTTCTATGTGTTTTTGATAATATTCATCATTATAATAATTATATACTAAAAATAATATTGTTCTGTTCATAAAATTTGAAATGTACAATATATTAAGTATAACAGTTTCTCATAGCAAAACATTCAATCGATATGAAATATAAGCAGCAATTATTTTTGAGACTTTAAAGTAATGTTTTAATTTTGAAAGTGAATACATAAGTTTGTGTGTGTAAATATTTAAAAATAATTTTATTATTATTAATACATATTTTTTTGAAAATCCTATGTTAATGTTTTATATTTTTTGATCTGTGTCATTTGTCAGAGATTAGACCGCTCTACATATATTTATTTTGTGTGTCATATTAGAAGAATTTTGTGTCTTTTGCAAAATAGCCTTAATAGTTTTTTATTGCTTTTTATAAGATGAGGACAATCAATATTTCTGGATTTTATCTCGACTTTTAATTTGTTCTTCGTCGAAAAGAAAAGACGCATGACACATACTTCTGTAGTATTCAAAGTATTATAATTATAAGTCAATATCATTTAAAGTATTATCATTTCTTCTCAATATTTTGCGAAGGACTGCGGCTTCGTTTGAATAATACTTTTCTACTATGTTATTCGGTACATAATGAGTATACCTTCGAATTTATAGAAAAATCTTCCAATCGCTAAATTATTGATCCATTTCAAGGTGCACATCGGTATAGCGCCTAAAATAAAAAATAATTATAAAAAATTAATACACTGTGCTGTATAATGCAAATAATACAAATAAAAATATCACAGAATATATAAAGATAAAGTATGATAAATCATTAAAAATAATAATTGTACATTATGGAACATAACACAGATCGTCATTATCAGTTAATAAAAGGTAGTATAGTTGAAATTTCCAATCATCTCTCTTGACGTTATATTTCTGCATACATTTATCTTTAAAATAATTCGAAGTACATATATCTTACTGAGATGCGGAATACCATAATAATAAACATCACCGTAACAAAGTCCATTTTCATATTTGTTGTGCCATGCAATTATGACACCAGTGGTATCAATATGTCTTTCGCTTATTTTATGCTTATATGAAACTATCAATCCAACTGCATATTTTACATTCAACGATCTTTCTTTAGAAAATGTTTTATTATATGAAATATTTACCGACTGAAATATTGGTATAATTATTTTTTTTTATTATGAAATTTATGTAATGTAATAATTAGAATTAATCAACATTTTATAATGTTGATTATATATAAATTTTCTAAACGTTATGATATAATGTATAATAAATATATGTTTAAAATATTATTAATGAATATTTAAAAAAAATATTTTAATCGATGTTTTATAAATGTTTTAAAAATATTATTTAATAACATATATTGCTGAAGATATTAATAAAATATTTTAAAAACGTTAATTTCAACATTACATAAATCTCTAAATCGATGTCAAAGTTTGTTCATAATGATGTTGCATACAATGTTAAAAACTATATACTTGACAAGAATAATAACGTTGTAGCAATGATTTTTTGCTTACTGGGTAGGTTCTATATTATAGGTTATAGGTTATAGATATAGGTTGCCGAAAAAACTAGATAATATTATAAAAGTGAGCAAAGATGTTTTCTTAAGCGATAAGGACTTGATAAGAATAAGAATTCGATAAGGACCACAATCACATGGTCGAAACGTTGTCAAGCTAAATAAATTATTTACTTGCTAGTTTTTGGTCGATTAATTTTTACAACTTCTTTTTAAATACCAGTGGCTGCTATTAATAATTTTGTAATTTTTTTTATATAAATAATTACTATGTCTACAGATATCTTTTCAAGAATATGAACTGGTTGACTTTTTCTCGTGTCATAAATTTTAACATTATCTTCATCATTAAGTAATATACTTGTTGTTGACAGCGAAAGTAAACGATCAGACTGGGTACAATTCAGATGTTTATTGTTAACACATTCGACCGACAATTTCAGTCAAGTGTCTATATAATTAATACATCTAAATTAAATACACAAAATATGACAATTAGTAGTAAAAATTGATAGTAAAAAATAAAGTTTTAATTAATACATGATTAAGATATTACACATACTATTGTATATATCGCAATAAACCTGTGTAATATGAACATTACAATCAATCTAATTAAAAATGATTTGAATTTCCGTGACAATATAATAAAGTATCGAACATTGAAATTGTATACCGGCATGCAAGATACAAAATAAACGAAAAGAAATAAAAAAAAACGAAAATAATCATGTACCTATGATAAATAAAGAGTAGACACTATAGTAGTTATAAAAGCGAAATGATAAAAATGTGTCACATTACCTAGAAAAAATTAGTCAATTTATATACACCACAGAACTTTACTTTATTACACAGGTACGGTCAAATTAAGTCGTGTGGTGAGTCGAGAGACGATGTGTGTCGATCGAGAGTTTAATACGTACTAAATTCTCTGTGTTGGTACCAAAACAATAGCAGTGACTTAGAGAGGTATATTATTTCGGGGAAAGCGTATATGATATTAAGAATCGAATCGTATATTAAATTTAAATTGTTTGTGTCTTTCTGTAAATTTATGGAGTCTTTATGCGTTTCTAAAAAGATCATTTCTGCAATCTTTCTTTTGTTGTAATGCGTTTCTGTAGAATAAGAGGAGATTGCTAGTTAATCATGATTGAAAATTATATATTATACATACAGAAATCAGTGCGCACAACAAATTTACTCTTTATTCAATTTTCAAACGTTTCGACAATTCCAAGCACTCGTTGTACAGCTCATACGTCCGATTGCTGAATCTCACGTTGGCGCAGTACTCATTCAGTGCTGTTTCGGTGCAATTGTAAAGATCGTCAGGCTTTATCTTGATCTGCCGCAGCTTCACCCAGGCGATGAATCTCTGACAATCGTAGCTGCCTGCTTTAAAACTTATGCTATTCCCAGTCAGATCAAGCTCCTTCAGCGAGCAGAACGGCGCCAGATCCTCGGTGCTGATCGAGGTAATTTTGTTGTAGGACACGTTAAGATTAAGGAGGGTTGGCTGGACGCCTATATTCGGGATCGTAGTTAGCTTGTTCTCGGTCAGCTGCAACAGTCTGAGAGGCGAGGTGACCTTCACCTTGAACACGGAATCGTTAAGATGGTTGTAGCCGAGGTAGAGCGTGTGAAGATACGGCAATTGGAAAAGACTCTTGGACAGAGTGTCGCAATCATTCAACCTGAGATCCAGCAGCTTCAGGTAAGGCTGATTGGCGAAAGCTTCCTCGTCAAGTTCAGTAATGGAATTGTCACCTAGATAGATGTAGGCCAGTTTCTTGTAAGGATGCAGACTGTCCTTTGTCAGTTCTTTCAAATAATTCCCAATAAGATTGAGCATCTAGCAAACAGAAGAGAAATGTTATCAGAAATGAAACGTATACAGGGCGATTTTAATCGATCCACGCGAATATCTTTGAACAATGCAATTTAAAATGCTTCATACGAAATTGTTTGACTTCGAGTTGGGTATAAGATGGTGTCATTGGTTTGACCTTGCATAGTCGCTTGAAGATCACATAAAGGTCATCTTCAATATCTTATGTAGTATTAAAAGTAGTTAGAAAAATATGCATTGAAAAATAGGGTTTCCATTTAAGTAATTAAAGATGACCTTTAAACGGCTATCCAAGGTCAAATATATGATATGAAATCTTATATAAAAAATAATTTTTAATAAAAACTTTTATTTAATTTTAATATTTAAAGTTTTAATATAATGTTTTCAATTTATAAATCTTAATTTCCCGTATTTAAAAAAAGTGAAACAAAGTTTCGTGGATTTTTGAAACTCACTACGAATTTCTCTATTTTATGCGAATTGCAGATAAGATAAAAAAATCGTCATTATATATACAGAAAATATCCTTTTATAATGGCAAAAACATACATGACTATTTTTTTATTGCAATTTTATGTAAGATATATTTAAACGACTATCTCACCTGTATGTCTACGTTCAAATTTAACGGGATTTTGCGTAATTTCAGTTTGGAACATTGCGCTTCCAGTATCGAGTTAACGTTGCTGTAGCTGCACGGATTCGGAAGCGGATCCTGGTCCATTATTTCCGCGGATTCCGATGAATCCACGAAAACATTTGGTACTGAGGCTACGACAAAGCCCAGTAAGAAGAATCCGTTAATGAGAAAGATGCTCATATCTGCAACAAAATCAGCGGAAACGTACGCTTATAAACTTTGACCAAACTTTGCCGCAACCGGATAATTAATCACTCGCGAAGGTGCAATATTTAGGATTCCCTCTCTACATCGCCACATTATTATTTATAGTATTTTAGTATCACGCAATATCTCTCCATCTCTCTCTTTCTCTCTATTATATTTTAAATTATTCCAAAGACCAAAATCCACGAAATAATTAATATCTTTAATAATTATCACCACCGTTTAACTTTTACATATGAGACGGAATCAGACGGATGTATTAATTTTTGAATACAACGATCTCTCGGTCAAATGAAAAGTTTGTAACAAATTGGTACAGGAAGAACACGTGTTCGAACAGATATATAAATTTTTTTTCCAATCACCCTTTTATATATAAAATAAACACAATTTTTAATCTTGTAGATCACGCGATTCTCTAATCTAATGACCAGTTTCACGACGAGAATATTAATATCGTGAAACAGATTTTATTTAATAACTGCTTTCCTAAACATGTAATTGATCGTTGAATTAATAAAAGGATTAATTTTTTAAAACACAGAAACATGAATAAATCGAGTAATGAGCGAAATATTGTTGATAAATCTCCTTTCATTTCACTACCTTATGTTAATAGCTCAGGCGATATCGATCGAATTTTTAAAAATATTGGATTTAATGTTGTTTATAATATTCCTTAAAAAACCGAATCATTTAATTACACTCGGCAAGGATAGACTGCCTACAGATAAAAAGACAAAAGTAGTTTACGAAATTAATTGTAATGATTGCAACGTGTCATACATCGGACAAACAAAGAGACATCTATGTACACGTGTAAAGGAACATTTCAGCGACATCAAAATGCATTCGAGTAATTTATCAGTTATCAGCAAACATAAAAATTGAATTCGATTACGATTTTGACTGGACTTTGCCGGTTATTTTGCACAGTGAAAAACATGTAAGAAAAAGAGAAATTGCTGAAATGTTTTTTATTAAGAAAAATAATAACGCTATTAACTTACAAAAGGATACCGACAATTTAAGTAATATCTACGACAAAATAATAAAGGTCTCTCATAACTCGTCTAAGAGTCTTGACATGTTGTCCAATCTGACATGTTCTTGACATCTTAAAATTATATAATAATTTTATTTTTATTTTCACAAGTATGTTTCGCTTCTTTTTATTATTTTGTAATATTGTTAAGTAAAGTAATTTTTATTGTATTAATCTCTGTACTGTATTTCTTCTCTATGTATATCTAGATTACTTGATAAGAGATATATATATACAGGGTGTCCCGGAACACCCTTAACAACGTTTGTGTGATGATAGAGCGCATCGATACGAATAAAAAGTCTTATACCATTTTGCAATATCTTTAATCATAACTTTAATCAAAATATTGAATTTTAAAGTCAAGCGAATAAAAGCGAGTAAGAGAGATAAAGTCAAGCAAATAGGAGAGAAAGTTTTATTAAATATATCGCAAATGGTATAAAACATTTTCGTTCGTCTTGATGCGTTCTATCACCGCACGAACGTTGTTAAGGATATATATATATATATATATATATATATATATATTTAAATTAAATAGAGAGCATAAACAAATATAAACCAAGTTTGTAAAATACACACGAATATATTTTTATCTATACTTTTTATAAATTTTTATATTATAAATATATAAATTGTTATAATTATTAAATATATATATATATTTATATAATTATTAAATATAATGTCTGCAATAATATTGTGAATTTGAAAAGGTTAGGTATAAATTAATTTTAAAATTTCTTAAATCACATTCATGTTAAAATTTTTTAAATGTCAGAATATTACTTCAAATGCTTCAAAAGGCAATTTTTGTGTATAGTCTTTTAAATATATTTTCACCGAGTTTTTGCAAAGTTCCTTTTTATGCGATGTGTCCATCAAGTAGAAAAACAAAAAGTTTATATATAGAAAAACTTACCTTTGAACATATCCTCTGAAATTGCTTACACGTGGAACTAAAATTCTCAACGTCCAGCTAATAGTTACGATTGATTTTCTATGCACTAACGCACTTAGTGTATCGTGGACAGCCATAGACTGGGAATGACCAAATGCCTCAAGAAGTGGTAGGGACAAAGGAAAAAGATAAAATAAATATTTCTTTTATCTTTTATTCGTGTTTCCACAACGACCGGCCGTATCCTGGAATTTTTTGGTCTAGCTTCTTTGTTAGTGGGAAAAATTCATTTTCTTTTGTATAATTTTCAGGTCTCGTTCTATTGTTTGCATTATACTATAGACTATAAATTATTTACGTCATAAAATAATGACATATTTTGCCTGCACCTAAATTATTTCTGTTACAACTTCATGAATTCTTTTTCCTTAATATTATTTTAGAATTGTTTCTATTCCTGCAAAAATCTAGTTATTTCTAAAAGTTCTCAAAATTATCTTTCTATGTGTTTTTGACAATGTTTATAGCCATAATGTTTACTAGATGTGTTGCTATGAAACTCGTGCACACACAAGGTGTACTAACCAAGACTTTGAAAATTGAAATAATCTCTTACTTGAGATTTTATTTCAAAAACCCCTTGACCCCTCTATCGAAATAAATAATTAAATGCGAAAGAAAAATATAGATCCGAAAGTCGCTGAATCGGGAATCGAACCTTTCAAATAAAATAATAATAAAAATAACCAATAAAAATAAATACATTGTGCTATATAATTAATATAAATAAAAATATCACAGAATATATAAAAATAAAGTATGATAAAGCATTTAAAATAATGCTCGTACATTGTGGACATAACACAGTCCTTCATTATCAGTTAATAAAATGTAGTATGGTTGAAGACAATAATCATACATATGTGCTAAAAAGTCATTTATTTATTTAAAATTAAGTAATTTAAAAAATTCTATTTCTTTTATAATTTATAAAAAGATATTTATGTATTTCTACCAAAATCAATTCAGTTTTTATTTTTAAGTAAGAGATGAACGACTTCTCTTGTAATTAATAATATTATAATATTTAGCTATATGAAGACTAGTATTGCGATGTATATAATATATATATTTATATATATTACACGATTGTATTATTATAAATCAATTATAAATCAACACCTTTTTGCTCTGTATTCTTTAATTTAATACAATTTTCTTGTTTTAAAATTAAGAAAATTTTAATCAATTTTCATAAATATATTTTCCGATTTCTAGTTAATCAAATAATTCGTAATTTAAAAAAATGCATTATAATAGTATTATATCTAATAACTTTTCCAAATAATATCAAAATATTAATTGACTAATAAAGACATTATAAAATCAAGAGACAAGAAGTAGTTTCAGAGAATCCTGATTAATTTACTCTTTAGATAAAAAGAAAAACAGCTGTAACTTGAAAGTTAGGTGATCGAAACGCTGCGAAATCATTGAATCACTTTATTGTCACACGCCATCTCTGGCATCGGGGGTATCTTTTATCAGATATATGATACTGGATACAGTCACTAATGTTTTTATACTTAATCATCTCGTGATCTCCTACCGCGAACTCCGTGAGATGACAGCCTTTAGAGCGATCCGCAGTTGGTCGCGTGCGAGAAAATATGGATGTAAAATATATATATATATATATATATATATATATATATAATATATATATATATATATATATTATAATTTGAAAAATGAAAATATATAATACATTCATATATATATTGTGTAATGTTCACTTTGAATGAATTCGGATTTCTTCGATGTTTTTTTTTCAAAGAGAGAGAGGAACAAACGTTCACAGAGTTCTCGGCCGGGATTCCCCGAAATGTCCTCTAAACGTACTGCTTAAATTCTTTCGTTCTTTTGTAATTTTTATACTTTTGTTCTTTCTTTTGTTCAACGAAAAGTGATACATCATTTCTAACGCCAACTGTTTCGTTTCCAAGGACATGTTCTCTCTCTTTCTTTTTCGCTTTCTCTCTCATTAACTCTCATTTTTGCTCTTTCGCGCATCTTTCTCTCTCTCTCTCTCTCTCGCTCTTTTTCTTCTGCATTTTTGAAGAAATAAATTCAAACATTTATCATGATAAAATTATAGAAATGTACGAGTCCCGCTGCGCGTGCGTGGATGCGTTTTCAACAACGATGAGGAACACCCGGTATAATATAATAAAAACATTTTCTTTTTTTTGTTTAATATTGATAGTAAAATTTCTTCGCGCACGCACACGCATCTTTTTACGACCGACTCGTAACTCGTTCCAGAAGATATCGGATAACGTTAAGGAAAAGTAATTTGTTACACTTGAAAAGAGCTCTAGAGAATATAGTTCAAAGTCTACCGAAACAATGACATAAACAATTTGGGAACCACGTGATTTTTCAAAAATTATAAGGACACGTCAGGGAAATACGAGTCGCTCACAGAATTATAATATAATTTAAGCTATGTGATGGAGACTTCTTTCTACGAGAATAATCAGTAAAATTTATTTCACCCCAAGGAGAATAGAAATGTCAAATTGACGTCGAAATATAGTCATTTTAGTTCGTCAAAATGACATCAAATTGCATAAAATTTTGATATCCACGATGATAAAAAATTATTATTTTGTATTAAAAATAATTGAGATGCAAATTTAAGACGTAAGCCGCTTAAAATAATATTTTAATCAACAATTTAGTTTTTAATACAATAACTCAACTCTTCTGCGAACTGCAATTGATATCTGAATATGAAAAACGTTAACCTTTCATTATCTTCATAATAATAAGCATTGTATATACACAGTCGAGAAACGTACATCACATTTTCTAAAAATCTAAAGTCAAAAAAAGTTATTTTTTAGTCATCTTCGAGATCGAGATTTCCATGATCAAAAAATAACATAAATTTAGTCAATATGACGTGAAATTGACATCATTTTGACTTTTCTGTTCTCCTTGGGAGCTCGACATCTTGCTCCGACGTGGTCTCGTTTACAACATTTCATCTTTTCGCTGGCTTTTTCGCACACATTTTCTCTCACACATACACGCACACGTGTACACACCCTATTGTGTCGTATTATAAACCTAAATTATGTGACTCTCTAAATTTGACAAAAGTGGTACCCCTTGGCTCTCAGGCATTTTTCATTCGTAATGTTTTCTTTCATTTTTATTTTGTTTTTTCCCTTTTTCCTGCTAGGTCACTTCTTTTCTCTCATCGATATCTTTTCTTTTTTTCGTATCCCCAATTTTCGTTAACTTCTACTGTTCATATCGATATTAGCACTTGGGGTTTCACCCCGTACTTTTTCATTAAGTTAATTAATAATATATATATATATATATATATATATATATATATATATATATATATATATATATATATATATATGTATGTATGTATGTATATATATAGGTACAAAGTCGGATATAATAATTTGTGTTCGTTTCATTAGTTTTTAATATGTATATATGTGTGATTCACGATACGCGTGTCCAATCCTAGAATTGAGCATGCCTATATACAGATGGGCATGGCAAGAATAGAAATCGACGCGTGTCCTCCTTCACAAGTTGTTTCTTCTAGCAAATCAACGTCTTATTCGATAATTGAAGCTCATACGAATTTATTTAATATTATTACTATAGAGAATAATGATAAGGCGCGCAAAGACAGATTATTTTCATTATTAATTTTTTTTATGGTTCGTAAAATTTTTATCAGTCGTGATTTTAATAATTTGGAAAATATATTGTCATTTTTTTATTCGACTGCGACAAATAATTTCTCGCACAAGTCTTTGCGAATTTTTTTATATTTTACGGTTTTGAAAAATAAAATTAATTTAATCGATTGTTTTTTTTTTTTTTTTTTTTTTTTTATTCAGGAAAAATCGCATAGAAAAAACAGCTGAGAAGGAAGACGAGGAACGTCGAATTAATTTCGCGAAGGATCTTATACAGCCGTCTCTGTATAAACGGCGCATTACAAACTGAAGAGTTACATTAGTAGTAGTAGTAATATAGTAGTCTTGTATATTTTATCAATTAACTATTACAGAATATTACGCATATTTATGTATTTACGTCATCATTGTCCCACGATCTTGATAAATCCGCGTGCATTTGCAAAATATGTACTTAGAAATGAGCTTATTTATAGTAATATTATTATTTTTTTTCTTTAATCTTTTCACAATACTTTACATATACATATCCTCTTCGGAGATATTAGAACCCTACTTTTTTTTTGTCTTTGTTTTCTCACGAGTAAAAAAGCCTCATCCACTTTGCCGTACGCCTCTAATTTAAGCAATGTTATAAGATATGATAAGATACCACCCCTCTCTATACACAATTTCCCATCCCCCGTTTCCTAAAAAAATTTCCATTTCGATTTGGAGAGAAAGTTTATATCGTTCATCTAGGATTTTTTTTTTTTTTGTTATATCTGTTAACATTTCGGATTATCGATGTGACGCAGCTACGTGGCTTTTGTAAATCAATTATGATATACTTCGTTTCTCCCACTCTTTCTCCCTCGCAACTCTAAGCTATAAATTCTTACGTCATAGATCATAGCTCGCTTAACGACGGATGCGTGTATTTCGATGGCAAATTCGATATATATATATATATATATATCTCAGCACGCGTATATCAAACATCGCGCTTACATTAATTTCCGGCCTTAATTCAAAGAACTCGCGTATAGAAATATAGTCGTATATTATCGAAGAGCGAAAATGCACGAGTGTGTGTGTATATGTGTATATATGTGTGTGTGTTTGTGTTAGTGAAGATGAGAGACAATCGGTTTTGAAAGTTGCAAAGCAAGATATTATACTTGGTCAATTAGATTAGTAAGTAATTATGATAGAAGAGAGATGTCGACATCTCTCTCGATGTCACCGCATTGTTTGTTAATTTTACGATTTTTTTTTTTTTTAATCACTCAGGAAACGTGACGCGAATCATTTCGGATAGAAATCTTCTCTGCGCGCTCGAACCTATATATATATATTTCTCTCTCTCTCTTTCTTTCTCTCTAGCGAATTGTTTATCGGAGATTTTACAAAAATATACGTAATATAGCCGCTTGAAGCTACTGCATTTTCCATTTATCGAAGGTTTTTTTTCGGTATAATATCCAAGGAGTACCTTTTCCACGCACGCAATTACAATGACGTAATTTCATAAAAATATATATAGAATCGCGCTAAAAAAAGCAGCTTAATTTATAACAAAGAAAAATTCGCGCAACGATTTTCCCAATTTTTAATTTGTCAATTTGCGAAAAAATACATAAATCGCGACATAAATACATCGACGCAATATATATCCTACTTAAGGGGATGCTGACCACGTCTATTTTACCGACTTTGAATTTAAGGGTTTTTCTTTTTATTGGCTATAGAAATTAAAAAATCCTTCTCCACAATTAAAGTACTGACAATAATAAACGGAGAGCGCTGTAATTTCGTATAAAAAGCAATAAAAGTTAAAAAATTACAGTTTTTATCGGTCTCTTGCATCAGCTCATAATTATACTTATTTAATACAAAAGTTTTGCAGTTTATTTGTGCACAAAATATGGTGCTCCCAATAGAGATGATATGAAAGAATAATACAGAAGTAATAAAAATGAGATTAAAAGCCTGTATCAAAAAATTCATCATCTGTATATTCAATAAAAAATAAACCTAACCTAACTTAAAGTCGGTATAACAGAACTATGGCAGCATCCCCTTAAATAATACTTAAAAACACATTTTTCTTTTCGCACAGATATTCCCTCCTCGATCCTCCAATTTTCTTTCATAATTAAGTCGAAATGTTTGTCTACCAGACATCAAAAACTTAATAAAAAATAATTCTCTCTCTCTCTCTCTCTCTCTCTCTCTCTCTCTCTCTCTCTCTCTCTCTCTCTCTCTCTCTCTCTCTCTCTCCCTCTCTCTCTCCCTCTCTCTTTCTTTCTCTCTCTCTCTCTTTCTCTCTATTTCTCTTTCAGGGCACGAATGTAATTATTTACTAATTCACAGCAGACGCTTCACGTGCATGTGCATTCTCGCTGAATGTATATGTATCTTCGCGAGTGTTTAAGATATACGCACGAAGAAAGATCGAACACATAGCACGATAATAATCAAGATATATATATAAAATTAATGGCAAGCGTTTACGCATTTTTTTTCTTACAGAGATTTACAAAGCCTCTTAAATATTTATAGTGTGGCGGTCACTCTGCTTCTTTGTTCTCTTTTTTTTCTTTGTACAAAATCGAGTACGAAAAAGAATTTTAGCCGCGACGCGAGTTATAATGGGCGGTTCGTTTTTTCTTTTTCCTTCTCCTTTTTTTATTTCGTCTTAATTTGTGTTTCGAGAATTTTCTGGTTCTTATACGCGTAAATAAGGTTCTTTGAAAAATGAAAATGCTCTATAATTTAATAATAATTATTCGTTCAAATGTAACTTCTTTATATTCCCGGCTTTTCCTCGAGATTGAGCTAATTAAAAAAAAAAAACAGCCGAAAAAGAAGAAAAAATAACAGATGTCATATTGTAGGAATCGATTTATCAGTCTGCTTCGTATTTGAGAAAATGTGGTATACTATATGTAACGCCTGCCCCACATTTTTCTACATATTATAATGGTTGTCTCTGATTTTTCGGACAAGTTACTAATAAAAACGAAGCTTAAAAAGCCGAGTTGATGTGATATAGCGTGTACGATGACTGACAAATGTTATTTATACCAAGGAACAAACAGTGTAGTTAAAATTATATCATCGTACATTCTACTTGTAATTCGAATTATACTAATTTGAAAGGGGCCAAATCAGATTGAGGTGTATCTAATTAATAATAATGGAGAAAACGCGAGAAAACTATAATGACGATCGATATATCGATTAGAAAACGATAACTTAACGGAGGATATTAACGCAAACATTGTCATTAGCCATTCAAACCTGCGCGCACATATATATATCGCACACAAATTCATATAGTTATTATATTATTTACATTAAATTATATATATATATATATATATGTATATATATATATGCTCTGACGGTGACATTTTTGACTAAAAATTTGACAACGATAAAATGTCTTTTTTTAGCCGACCGTTTCGAAGATCGGTATTTGTAGTACTTGAACTGTCCTAAAATTATATACAAAGTTTGGAAACGTTTTCCATAAGCATATATGTAATATATTTATATTTATGTATACTTGTTCTCTTTTTTTCTTTCTCTCTCGCGATATTTTAAATCTTTCTCGCATTCGTCAATTCGACGAAGTCCATGACGAAGTTCGCTCGTTTATTTTTTTTTTTTCACTGTGTAGTCATTAATCTTGTTAATCACTTAACTTCACATTTAGATTCACTGAAAACGAGTGTCATTTTAATCGTTTGCATTCGCATATTATTTATTCCAGTACACCACATTTGAGTTCACATCTATCCCGAACTTGCTTGATTTGGTTGGTTTTCACTGTAAATTGAAATAAACAAATATATTACTAATTAATCTCGTAAACGTAATATATGTTATTACTAATTCATTACATGAAATATTGAATGATAAAGATTCTGTGTAATGTTCATTCAAATATTATCATTACATATATACAAACACACAGATAGAGTATAGTATATAATATTATATATTATATATTATATATATATATATATATATATATATATATATATAATAATTCCATTATAATCTTTCCAATTATTTTCCAAACTATTCGAACGTTCGGAAAAACGATTTAAATAGAAATTTTCTGTTTTAAGAGGAATAATCTTATTATTAGGAAGACACAAATCTAGTGTAAATTTATGTGACATTTATGATCGACATTTCTATGGTAAAGAATAAAAAAATTTTCAATATCCATTTAACAAAGAAAAAAATATAAATAATGGTAAATGACTTAGAGTGAGGCCTCGAAAAACCAATATATCATAAATTAATGAATGCGTCTCGGAATAGGCTAAAAGCCCAGGTAAACAAAAATATATAGTTCTATTTAAAAGAACAAAGGCCACTTTCAAACCTTCAAAAGAAATACCGAAATATCGATGATACTTTAACCTACGCAAGACTTGTGTCCATAATAAGATGTCCTTCACAAAAATACAGTAAGTTTTATTTAAAATATTTTTTCGAACAACGAATAGTTGGAGAGATAATTACGTGGAAGATTTTAATGGGACACCCTGTATATTTAAGACTATAGTCTATCTATAAATTTTCTCGGCACCATTCAATACGTAAAATTGTGATTAACGTTTTAAGAACACCTCGAAAAAATATACATAAGAGGATAGGACTCCGAAACGGCACAAACTTACCTTCGCTTATTTTTTTAACAAATTTTATATATTATATCGATAAAGAGATTGAAATTATAAATATATTAAAAAACTGTTACGACTCGCTATATATTTACAAGGAAAAATCAGAGTTTTGGAAAAAAATGCAATATGTTGTGCAAAGTTGGAAATTAAATATGTGATATATATATCAAGCAATAATACCAGGAAGAGTTTACGAAAAGTAGTTCCCATTATATGTGGACAAGTGTAGAAAAATATTAAAAAGTCGCAAGATGCAAATTGAAAAATATAGCGTTCAAGAATTAATAAAAAAAAACAAGGAAAAGAATCGAACTTTCTCACGTTCGAATAAAATTTCGGAGACACATCTCGTCTACACAAGTTTGGAAAAGTCAGCAATCGATACAGATAAAATACAATGGCAACAAAGTATATCGAGCGCGCGTGATAACGCAATCTTGCGTCGTTTCTATATCGGTTTTCGATTATCTCTACGTCGACTACTTCGAAGCCGCATAGAATTATTATATTTTTTGGTATATGTAACAAGGACAAGCATTTTCAAAAAGAAGAGGAGATTTCTATACAGAACGTAATGGAGATGGAAAGAAGATATATTGGCAACAACAAATGTGTATCAAGATTTCACATGGGTACTTGAGAGGGCCTAATTGGAAAAATTGTTTTTCGATTTTAACGTAATTTCGCGAATTGTATAGAAAAATTATAAATTTTAATATAAATATCGTGTGTGCGTGTACCCACGTTAAATCGTTATCCAAACTATCTACGAACGATGCCTTGATTCTCAGTGCGTACCTAAAAACTATCTGGCGCTCCGGGAACACATGGCTGGCTACGTCTACATCTAGTCCTACATAGAGACTAGTGGCTCGTCTGATATGCCGTACATGATATGTGATGTACTAGTGGTGTTTCTAGAAAGACATGTCCTCTCCCGTACGTACTTTTTTTTTTTTTTTTTTCATACCCTTTCCTCGCATTCCGTTTATCTTTCGATTTCCCTTTTCTCTTTGTTTCCCTTTTTTCTGCCCTCTCTCGCAAAACCTTTTATTATATCACCGTACAAATTGATTTCCGCATTCCACGTTAAAATCTGACTTTTACCGTATTTCAGAGCCAAACGTCACTCGTTAAGTAGTCTTAGGCTTCAACATTTAATGTAACTTACGAGAGGGTTGGGAAGGTACGCGTGTTAAGATTCTCTTGAAACTTTTTTGTTTGTTTGTCAACCGTAGTGAGAAAGAATATTAATATATTACGATAGAGAATTATTTGTAAGACGCTATCCTCGACTCTTTTACACAATAAATGTAATACGGTAATCTCAAATAGTTATTTAATTCTGAATATATATGTGTAATACTTTACATTTGACGCTACGTCATCAAACGACTGATTTTTTTCTGCAGGTCATTTAAGGATATTAAAAACGTTTATAATGATCTTTGTGTTCACTTTCAATCCCTCTAATTGTTTATCAGTAAGTATACGATACTACCTTATATATACATCGAGACTCGTGCATTTCGGTATCCTAAATTGAAATGGTGGAAGCGACTATATAGGTGCACCGCGAGATAGGAGCTCGAACTCAATCTAGTGTTTTTTGTTCTACTTTGCTCTACTGTAAGAAAAAAACTCAAACATCTCTCCTCCGTTAAACACATGTGTAAAAGGAATTATTTTTATTTTTTATTCGGCACGCGTTCTTCGGACAGTCGATCTTTTAGATTTTAAAAGAATCGAGAGACGTGACCGAAGATCGACGGGACAAAGCAAGGGATGGAGCTCCACTGACCAGGGCTTGGGTGTCAAACAGCTTGTACCATCCGAACACCATCTGACTGAGGTCCAGCTCATCCAATACGATTTGTGCAATACCCATGAACACTTTTTTTCCCTCTATCCGACCATAATCGCCCCACACTGTCACCTGAAACCGCGACATAATCATCACAATCAATGCTAGACTTAGATAACTTTAAAATTAGTTAGATAAAGATAAGGTGAAAATATGCAAATTCATCTTAGATAAGATAAATTAGATATAATTTTGTTTTAAATACACTCCCCAAAATAATTAAGGGATCAAAAAAAATTGTTTAAAGAATAGGCAAATTTTAAACAGCTGTAACTTTGTTTTTAAAAATAATAATTTAAATTTTAAAAAAGGGTTTTAAAGTTTGAAATTTCTACTTTCGAAAGGTCATAGCTTTTTTCATTTTCTTTAATTCTGATATTTTTTACATACAAAAACAGCGAACATAACGAATGGAAATTTTCGTCTCACTTTGTAGACATGTTACATACACAAGAGATATGAAAAAATTTTTTGACATTCTTCCGTTAAAGCCTGAAGTTTTCCCTGCAAAATCATTTTTTAAAATTTAAATTTCGATTTTTCCTTATCAAGTTATGGCAAATTGAAGAGAAAATGTCATTTTTACTTTAATCGTTCATAACTGCCTTAAAAATTATCGTAGAGCAATTTTAAGAATGGATTCTTAAAGCTGAATCTTTACTCTATAGTATGATATAGAGACTGAATTTTTTTTAACTCGTGAACTTTTTACAAATAGATGAAAATAAAGAAGAAATTCGCGAGTTTTCTCCTTTTTGTTCAAACTTTGAAAAAAAGTTATGTAAAGTGAGTAAAAAAATTTATCGACTGAAATTTGTATACCTTCTAGTACTCCAAACTTGGCGTAAAATCACAGACTTCCTGTAATAATTTCTTTATAATGATCCGTATGTTTAAAATAATCCGATGTGTACAGCTATTTAAAATTTGCCTATTTTTTTGGATAATTTTTTTATCCTTTAATTATTTTAAGAAGTGTATATCCAGTGTTGTGCTTAGATAATTTTAAAATTAGTTAGATAAAGATGAGATGAAAATATGTAAATTTATCTTAGATAAGATGAAAATAATTTGTTTTGAATATATCTAATGAAAGATAAAATTGTATAGCGATTCATCTAGATAATTTTTAGACGATATATTTATAAGACTAGTTATGCAAACACAGTTATAAAAAAATGTAAACTATAAAAACAATACAAAAATATATTTATACTTTTATTTTTTTCGTCAAACTTTCTGAACATTATTTTGGATACACTTATTCTAGATGACATTTTTTATTTAAGATGCAGATAGGTATAGATTTTTATTATCTATATAAAGAGGATGTTAAAATTTCATCTAGATGCTCATCCATATAATTTTATTTAGATAATAGCAAACACTGATAACAACACGCCTGCATCTTAAAATGCCTGCGAAAATAAATTGAACAATAGAGTTTGAGACACACTGTAATATGCAGCCCCGACAGTTTTCTTTAAAAGCCAACAATTGTTGATAGAATGGATCTAGCGTCTTTCTGGCCATCAACGTTTTCGCTTTCTCTATGCACCTTTTACCATTCACCAAGTAAAGCTTCACGTAAGGGGCTGGAATAAAAAGGATCGCATTGGCGAAAAGAAACGGCCACCGCGGTAAGAGAGGCGCTACCGAAGCAAAACAAATATGGCCGCCGCGAATATACAACAGATTTAAGTGTAAAAATAATTTTTTTAAATGAAAAAGATGTCATTGCGGCTAGACACACTCTGTGATTATACAAAAGCTACGCCTGATCAAGGAATCTGATCAAAAGCCAGAATGTTATAAATTCCGGCATGATTATTATGTGCGGTGTAACTATAAAAAGTCAAGAAAGAATAGATTTATATTCCTTATGTCTACAAATAAGCGCCTTGACGTCAGAATCACTGGAACATTATTATTTAATTTATTTTTCAAATAATAATAAGATATAATGTTAGATGTATATTCGCGGCGGCCATTATGATAGTTTACGCGACCGCCACTAGTGTCGCATTGAATTTTAAGTCCCGAACAGATGTTCGGGAAACTTTCCACTCGAAAGAGCAGGTAACGGCAAGCCTTACCTGGTATTGCTTTGCTGCCTTGCTTCGCTTTAAGATCTTTGGCACGTATGACCTCTACCTCCAGGTAACCCTTCGTGTGGCTCAAGGACAGCTGGATCCCCCGAGGCAGCGGGCACCGAGAGCTTGTCTTCCCACAACCTGACCAGGTCCAAGATCTTCGATGAAGTCTCTCAGCTGCCCCTCGCCTGCCATTCGCAGATTCGGAGACCAGCTGCGGTTTTCAAAATTATACGTTTAGCAACAATATCGATGCGACTCCTTCGTTTACTACGGAAAGTATATATGAAGTATGAGAGAGAGAAAGAGAGAAAGAGAGGAAAAAAACGCTTGAAGAAAATCGGAGGAAATACCGAGAAAGAATGAATGAAAAAAAGAAAAAACGATGTGCTTTTAATCGTACGAGCAATGGAAATCGAGACTTTGTGCAGCTTTTTTGTCCCTTTTCCTTCCATTCTTTTGCTCGTACGTGAATTTTTTGTTCGATCTAAGAATGTAAGAAACGCGCCGTAATCTCTAATGAAGAAATAAAACGCGAAAAAATTGCGCAAGTCGAAAATTAAAGTATTGTTATTTCGGAAAGAACCGAAAGAAGAGAGAAAGAGAGAGAGAGAGAGAGAAGAGAGAGAGAGAGAGAAAGAAAGAGAGAAAGAGAGAGAAATGCAATAAGAGAGAATTATTTGTGAGGGGATTATAAAAATGATAAAAAACGAAAAATTTTTTATATTCCGCAGGAGCGAGGGACAATTCTCGCAAGCCTTCGACGAAAGTTGTAAAAGAGAGAGAACACACCTCATTCACTTTGAGATAAGAAGAACTCACGCTGAAAGTGTAATGTCTCGGTGTGTGTAGTGTCGTAAATATATTATATATACACATGGAAAAAGATTATATATATAAAAGTTTAAAAACATACCAGATATTGATGCATGCATTTAATCTAAATGCGGAGAGAAAGAGAGAAAGAGAGAGAGAGAGAAAGAGGATTTTTTAAAATAATTATAAACAACAGTAATCAGTCTACTGCGATATGATTAAAATTCAATCTTGACGTAAATAGATAATTAATATTAATTAGTATGAATTATTATTAATAATAAAACTACGATTGTGCGTAGTTCTTTTTTTATGACATTTGACGATTTTAACGCACGACTGAGTACTGTTTCGTTGCTCCAGACTACATTTATCTATTAACATGCTAGAATCTTGAGGAGAAATGGAAGAATTAATAAAAAAATTATATTAACTTACACTTACTTGTCGTTGCTATGCTACGAGTCGTTGAGAAGATTCGCGTTATTAACGCTAACAAGCAGAACTTTTCGATACAAGTTCTACTCTATATAAATATAGACATATCCATATATATGTGTGTATTAAGTGTGTATGATCATATATTATTTGCATAAAAAAACTGTCATTAATCTAATTACTAACTATACTTAGAGATTAAATTTTTTTGCAGTACCTTTGCATGAAACACAAACGTTGATCTCTTCAAAATTGCATCGTCAATCAATAACAAATAAATATATCGCTACTGCATAATGATTTGATTATATGATATATCATTACTTAATATATGATATACTATATTATATTTAAAGTTATGTACAAATATAAAAAAGTTGACACACCCGACAACTTTCTCTGTGAGATTTCGCGAACCATAATTAGGATACAGAATACTGCTGTCAAGGATAAATCAATTATCAGAATTATTATTTATAAACCATCGTGTACCGAATCGACAAAACATTTGCAAAATAATTCATTGTTTTAAATAAAAAAAAAAATTTTTGTCAATTATTTAAATTATTGTATCTATTTAATTCCATTTGAATCGTTTTCTCGATTCGGCACGCGCGTATATTCTAAGAAAATACATCGCTGTCAGAGAAATACCTATTCTACGATATATATCACAAAATACACTTGATGAAAAAACGGTAAGACAGAGAGAGGTCCATAAGACAGGGAGTTCAAGGGAGAAAAGAAGTGGGAAAGAGGCTGTTTTCTCCGAGGACACACGCACGTTGATCTCACACAATAGATAGTACCTACTATATTAAAAATAGAATGAATCGTACAGAAGTATATGAAAAACCATCGGGTAGGGGGGGGGGGTTGGGGGAAGGGGGATCCTCCGCGAAGACATTCCTGGGTGACATTCCTAGGATTATTCACAGTGTTCTGCTTACCATGTGGATAGAGAATACAGACTCCGCGACACGATCACACTGACGTATATATATATGTATATGTATGCATATACATATGTATATGAAATAGATATAAAAGTGCGTGTGTGTATGTGCAACGGTGCTCCGAAGAGTATTAATGCGATACAATCATTTGCCACACAATCAAGCAATTCAAGCCAAGACGACAACAACACCGATAATGGACGATAATATATATATATATTTTTTTTTTTTTTTTTTTTATTTTATGGGCGCTTCTGTTTTTTGTGGAGCACACAGAAATGAAAGATTTCTCGAAAGAAAGATGTGTATAAAAGAGGAGAAAAAGAGATATACAGCGAATATATATATATATATATAATATAATAAATCCCCAGTCAATTCGTCGAAGACTATACTTAATGCATACTTTTCTTCCTCGCATTATAAAAACCGACCGTAAAATAACCGTATAATACAGAAAAAGGTGCTGCTCTAATAAAAAAAAAAAAAAAAAAAAAAAAAAACGTAGGAAGAAGATACTGCGTCTCGTAAAATTCAACTCTCTGATTATATAAATTATTACTCGTCACATCATAAACTCTCGGGAAAGTTAGAAGAGAGAGAGATAGGGTAAATAAAATGTGCGAAGAAACAACATATATTTGCCTTGGAGTGAAATATGATTATATAACGACTAAGAAATAATGATTATATAATGTACCATTTATTTTAATGTATATACAAATTTCTGATTTTCACACATGACTGTGCTGCGTTTATGAGAATCGAAAAGTATGATTTTAAAAAAAATATATAGATAACAAATATAATCGATTTATGTAACAAAACATAGAAATCAAGAATACCTGAAAGAAAAAAAAAATAGAGAAATGAATAAGACCAAAAAAAAGCGTGTGGCCATATATTTGCACAATTCAAATTATGATATACAGGGTGTATCTAAACAAGTACGAACAATTTTAGAAGATGATTCTTTGTCGAAAATTAAGGGAGATTTCTTTATAGTCAAACATATAGTCTTATATCCATCCCTGAGAAGTTACATTTTTCTAAAAAAGGAAGTAAAAATTAAATTTTTATTTTTAAAAAAATATTAATTAATATTTATTTTATTAAAAAATATCCAAGTTTCATTTTTAATTTGTCTGAAATTTGAAAAAAAATTAAAATTACTTCCCTTGATTTTCGATAAAAAATTATCTCCTAAAAGTTTTCGCACTTATTTAGATACACCCTGGATGTATTAATGACGCATCTTTAATCACACGTTTGAAGATGTAATAATCTGAAGCGTTTTTACGATTTTCTGTGTAAATAGACTTTACAAGAGAAGTAAAAGACGAAAATAGGCCAACAGGATTATTCTTTGTCTATAATTGAAATAATCATATATGCACAATATTAATATATTAATAATTCAATCGAACAATGGAATTAATAAAAATGAAAATCAATTTTCGAACTAATGATTCTTCTATGAACAACAAAGAATAAGTCCGTATTGATCCTTGAAGGAAGATGAGACAATAAGCTTACATGTACATTGAAAAACGAGAAACAAATGAGCTGTAAGTGCTTTGAAGAAGCTTACTTACTAAACAAAATTCAAAAACAGATATTCATGATTCATTGAGACGTAAAAATATTCAACGCCACTGTTCCTAATTTTATTCTTCTAAAATCAACGTGTACAAGTGACTCGCATGTATTTAAATTTATTAATTATGTTTTGTACAAAAATCAATTTTTTCTAAATTATTAAACTAAATTTTTTTATACAGAGTATCCTGAAATCCGCGAATCATCTATAATAGCAGAATCCTGAAATCATTTGGAGACGATTTTTCAGTGAAAATATAGAAAGAGGGAAGTCATTATTTTTGCACGTTCCCAAATTTTGCCACTATGTATCTTTGCAACTAAGCCTTAAATTAAAATTAAAATAAACTCTCTGTGAAATTAATTCAAGAATGTAGCTTTGTTAATATTTTATTTCTACAAGACTTAGTTTGCGAAAAACCCCTTATTTTCAATCATTCAAATATTCTTGTAAATTGAAAATTATTGGTACCTCGACATTTTCGTTGAGGAAAAATCATCACCAAATGATCCCAGGAATCTGTCATTAAAAGATAATTCGCGAATTTCGAGACACCTTGTATTTTGATAAATCAACATATTATATAATTTATTAATATAATTATAATTTATATTGAAAAGAGAAACTTTAAATTATTATATTATTTTCTTCAATAAAAATAATGTATATTCGTAAAAAAAAAAATAAAAAACAATCACATTAAAATAATAAAATAAGCAAACAAAACCTTGTTATTCTCACCCAAAAATAATTCCATTATTCCTCTAGTAATCAACATCGATAAATCAACTGACAGCTCATCTCGTTTGGTCAAGGTCCACGCGGCTTACATATACAGAAAGCGAAATATAAATGAAACCGTACAACTGAAAAATCGAATAGATAGAGCAGAGATGACAGAAAGGGTGAGAGACAGAGAAGCGGAGAAGAGACAGAAAGAGAAAGAGAGAAAGAGAGAGAAAGAGAGAGAGACAGTGTGAGTGTATGTATCAGGAATAATCTCGCGCTTCCGCTTGCAGAATTCTTATTGTCTTATTTATTTGTTTTGGTCGCCACAGGCGTGGAGTTCCACTACTTACGAGCTTCCTTCGGAACTAGAGATCGAGTTGAGACTCCCGGCGGTATCGCTGGCTGCCGATCCCGCCTGTTTGCTGTCAAAGCGCTGATAGGCCGGCATGATCTCCTCGGAACGTTGTATGCTGCTCGGCGTGCTGTTGCGCTTCCGGCTCGCTAAACCGGATGCACCGCGTGCCACGGCGCCGCCGCCGCCGATGAGCATCCCGCCGCACTCTGCGTTGTAAAACCAAACAAGAAATACCGCTAAACTATTGTCTTTCACTAAATACACCCGGCCGCAGCGGCTGCCTCTCGTAATCCAGGTGCGCCGTCCCGACAGGGACGTCTTTAATTAAGCAGTTCCGCCAGCATTAAGTCTCTCCCCTGCAGCGACAATCGGAATCACGGTTGATTTCGGCGTGTGAGATATATCTGTCAAATTACCTCTCTCTCTTGTTTTTTTTTTTTTTTTTTTCTTCTACCTCTCCTCTCTCTCTCTCTTTCTTTCCTCCTTTTTAATCTCTTATTTGCTTCCCTTCTTGCTCTTATTTTGATCTATAGCCCGTTCGCTTCTCTTTGAATTAGATCCTAATGATCATCGGTGATGAAGTATGCAGAGAGGTCTTTCTGGAGAGTGAGATCTTACAACCCAAATATATATATATGTATGTATTTATATATATAGGGAGAAGGGAAACGTGAGAATATATATATATCGAGGTGTCGTGATATTTGGAGTGAAATGCAACGAGATAACATCGCGCGGGCACACATTTGCATTTGACATCAAAACAAAAATATGCTTAAATATCTTAAAGTATATATCCTATATATATATATATATATATATATATATATATATGTAAAAAAATGTAAAAATTCTCTGACGTCCGTCACAAATAATAACGATAGCGTTTGCATGAATCGTAACAGAACTTTCAACTTTGGCATTATATAAGACACATATTCAATAAAGTGACTCTCCGCGAAAAGAGAGAAACGATATTATCGATGATCAAATTTATTTGAATAAAAATAGACGGACGAAAAAGCGGAAATAATCTTCGGTCGCGCGTGACATCTTTACCTTATTTTTATCTTAACTCACGCAGGCTCTATCGAGACAGAAACTAATCGTAACTACGTCAGAAAATCACTAATATATGTTTTCCATATATGAAAATGCTGCATATAAAATTTAATCAGCGGCAACTCTAGAAAAATTGCTTAATATGTATATACATACATCTAACGCTAAATAAATTCAATACATTCTCCGGAAATCTTAAGCACACAGATAATTGTGCACACAAATATATGAAAAAAATATTAAAATTATATACATATTTTTTTTTAAATACAATTTGTGAAAGCTCTTGAAATATATATAAAAAAAATTAGAAGAAAGATCTATATACATATATAATTCTCAAATCGGTGTACTTAAGGATTGTCCGGTAAATATCTGATGTTACACATTCAACGAATTCGTAATATCAATAATCTTAAGAATATCGAAAAAAAATATACGCTTGTAAAAGCACTGCAACGATTCAGGACATTGAAAAAAAAATTCAAAAGCCGTGTGAATAGCGCACTCTCACCTGAAGCACGTATCAACACAGCGGCTTCTAGGAAATAATAAAAAAAAATAATCAGTATCAGAGAGAGTGTGTGGTGGCCAACTTACCTCGATGCTATCGAGAAATTCAAATTGACCACGCGACGAGATCTAGATTGGAAAGAAAGCTGTATGGAACGGAACGATTATAACGTGACACACGGTGCCGACACTATTCTAGAATCACGAAAAGACGCCAGAGCACAACTAGAACTTGTGCAACTAGAATGTGAGTTTCCTGATCTGCGTGATCACGCGTATATATCGTACACAGGCGCATAATGCAACGAAACAATCACCTGGAGATGCTCGCGACTGCATTTCCAGGAAGAGAGAATTTTAAAAATAAATTTTAAAAAAGACAGAGAACTTTTGGCGATGTTTTGCAGCCCAGGAAACTCGTGCGAACGTTCCTCTAGAAATAACGTATCAATACTACGTAGAAATAGCCTCTACGATCTAGAATAAACGAGAAGGAAAGAATCACCTCGTGACTATTTGGTAGAAACGTGCAGATTCGCAAAATACTTTCTTCGATTAGGCTAGAAGAGGAAAAAAAATTATAGAGACGTAAAACATTCGACATTGGATCTTTCGCAGATCCGTCGTCCAGCTGCTATAGCTAAAAAAGTCAGAGAGAGAGCTTTTGGTCGCAAGAGAGTATTTTCCGACAACAATCACGAGAGACTCCGCAATCGACCCCGACTAAAGCACGGCCTCTAAAAGAGTGATGTGTGGTGTGTTTTATTTTTTTTTTTTTCATTTTTTTTTTTTTCATTGTCATCACTGTCAACATTCCGCTGTCGTCAGATTGAACGATAGCTCTTGCACTTTCTATCGCAAGTCCTCCCATCTGCAACGTGTACTCACATATTTCGTCGAAGGCTTGATCCAATTTATTACGATCAATGAAATCAAAGATATCTGATTAAGGTTGACCTCTAATCATTTTCAATTGTGTATGGTGATTTATATTGACGGATTAAAAAATTACGGATGACGAAACGTCACCCCAACGTGTGCATCTTCGCACAAGGATTCATCATCATCATCATCAAGGGAACATAAAGTTTGAGACGCGATCCTGGGGGAAAAAATGTTATTTCCGGAACCTCTCAATTTGATAGATGTTTTTGATGGATTTTTTCATCAAGAAAAAAATGTCGCAAATTACGGTCAATAATTTTCGAGATATCGATGTTTCAAAATTCTTGACAAGAGGTCATCAATCTTTTTAATATAACGAATCTAATTTTAATTTACACTATCAGAAATGGATTTGGATTAAGTTAGAATTTCTCCACGCCTTTATTTTCCAATACGCGCACAAAACGCTAAATCATTCCACGAAATATTACGAATCGATTACTGTGATTTGCGGCCTTTTTCTCCCGAAATGAAAAACCCAAATATACCTGCGAAAACGACCCATCAAACGAGGGTTCCCGGAAATAAGATTCTTGGCGCTTCTCGGGTTTGTCGCTCCCGCGTAACAAGGGAAAAATCTGATGCGGAAAAGTAAGGCGAAAGAGATGCGAAAAAAGAGAAGAGGTGTGATGAATTCTACACTGATGATGCGAACTAATGTCGGACCTGTCCCCGTCGCCGCTACCCTCGCCGTCGCTGCTCGCAGAGCTCGGTTGCCGTCCGCTTCTACCACCGACCGTATCCTCCGGCAGGACCTCCTCGCTCCTGTGAACTGTAAAGGACGACTTCCCCTTCTTCCCGAAACCCAGCCGCCGTTTTCGTCCTTCCTCGCCCACGCATGTACCACCAACAGACGCACGTGGTATGTTATGGATTTTGCGTGACGTGATAAAGTTTGTTGTTGATGTTGTTGTTGAAGAGCGACAGTTGTCGTGAGCGTGGTGTCAGTTTAGCAGAGCGATTTTACATGCGTATTTATTGTTTTTTTTTTTTTTAATGTGAGAGAGTATCGGTTCGTGTTTTTTTTTTTTTTGTTGCATAACAGTGACGATCGGTCCAGCAAATCGATCGATGATCCGTATGGAGTGTTCCGTGAACACACGATCGGCCGCCGCGATGAGAAATCGTGCAGGTGCAGATCGATGACGTGAATGGTCCCCCAGCGTCGAGAGGTGGTTGGTTGGTAGAAGTAAAGTGTGAATGTGTTTCATGTCGAAGAGAGGCGGATAAAGATGAGGTGGGATGGCGGAGAAAACAAGAATACAATTAGAATGTACATACTGCCCCGCTTACTGGGTTTTTTGCTTGTATACGGTATGCTCTTGTTATCGTTCAAATGTTCGCCTGTCGATGATGTTTGAATTATGGTAACGTTTAGGTTAGGTTGTAACGTTATATGGCCGAAGAAGAAACAAACATCTCAAGAAAAAGGATGATCATTCAGTTATTTTCGCATTACGACTTTGTTCTCTGAAATGTTCTATCATATCGTTTTGTTTTTAAGAATTATTGTAACACAATTTATTACAAATTATATTATAGTTATATGATATCCCGGGTAGCAAGATGACGTCACACATTCGACATCAAAATGATACGTTTAATGACGTCAGCTTGCTACCTGGGATGTGATACGATACGTTTAAAATTAAAATATTATTAGAACTTTTTAAGTTTTGAGAAATATTTGTTTTAAAGATTAAGATTTACATCGAATTTTTGCAACCAAATATTAAATATATTACACAAAAATGTTGCACACAATTAATTATCTCCTCTATTTTAGAGAATATTTTAATTATCTCCTCTATTCTAGAATTAATTTTGATATCAAATTTATATATCAATAAATTCCCACCATATTAATTTTATTATTTAACATTAAAGTATTTAACAATCTGAGAAATTTTTAAGTTTGAATAAATAATTAAGAAATGTTCGATAATTTAGCTTAATATTCAGTATAAAAAATTACTTACGAGAAATGATTACTCTTTTTCTTGGATTTCAAAAATTATTTCTTGTTAAACTGTACTGAATTAATTAATTAATGAGTGTTCGACAGTAAGAACCAAATCTCGTGAAATGGGAAGAATAAGATAATAGATAACTAATATAATAATAGATTAGCAAAACGTTAACAGAAATGTGCAGAATATTTATACTTTACTATTATTTTTAATTACTACTATTAATTTATATTACTATTATTTTTAATTTGTTAATTATTCTATATATATAGATATTTTTAATTATCCTATATATATATATAAATGTTTAATTTATTAGTCATTTTATATATAGATATGAATATTTTATATCCGTTTGATTAAAACCAATTACTACATTATATAATTGCAATTAAGGTCACTCGAGAATTTAATCAACACGCAAGTATTTTGTACTTGCACTGATTTTTTAATTAAATATATTTTGGAAAGATGTAATATTTTTGTATCTGTAATTCCTTATTTCTCTTATTCTTATTCTTCATTCACGTTTTGTTCATAAAGAAATACGATTGAAAACAAAATTTATCGTCCCCGTACGCGTGTTTAAGTTACATTATATCCCTCTTCATTGCACAGGGTATCTTATACAAATGGAGCACAAGCTGTGAGACTAATGCTACATATTTGTTGTCAAAAATTATTTTTTCCCGTGACAAAATTTTCAGAAATGCGTGCAAATTCAAGATGTCTTTATTTTTTGAAAAATTACTTTTAAAATATAATAATAAAAATAAATCAAAAATTACATAAATAATATTTCTTTCGTTTACATCAGAGTTAAAAAGCATACTTTGCTGTCATAAGAAAATTTGTTTTTATATCATATCAAATAAAATTTCTTGCAATATTTTATTACAAAATTGATAAATATTAGATCCCTAATTATAATCTCGAAATTACGAAAATTTTTACATGAAGAATCAAGAAACAGCAAATGTATCGTATCGATATATTAAAAATAAAAATATTTCGAAAACATAATAAGTTGCTGAAAATTTGACTAGAGAAAGAAGATTATATTTTGACAAGAAATATATACCTGCACTCTACTTACATAAGACACACTGTATGTGAAAAATACCGATGTATCATTGATAAATTTACATCATCCTCATTTATGCACGTAGCGAGAGCACACCGTTGTAAATCTACACACTAACGATACTAGACTACGCTATATCCTAATATACGAAAATATCGATGTTCTGAAGAAAATGAAGATTTCCTTTTTCACTAAAGAGAGAAGATATGTATATATATATATATATATGTCAGGAAATATATATATATAGAAAACTGTCTAATGTCGCGTGAGATAGTATATCCATACATTGATCAAATCGCTTCTAATATCGCGCAACCGTGGGAGAGAAGAAACGTTATTTAACGTGTGTTTCGCGCCGAAACGATCGATCTTTACGAAAGAATGGACTACGTATAACACGTAGAGAGACTAAGCGCAAAACTTAACTAGAGAAAGTGGCCAGTGTGACAATGTGTTACCTGTCGCGGATAATTGGCTGGTGCTGTTACTCTTCTTCCCGAGACCCGCTTGATATTGCACCGCGCTTCCGCTGCTGCTGCCACTTCCGCTTTTACTTCCCGGCGAGCTTTACGACCCCGCCTCGACGCATCTTCGACGTTCAATGCGATCGCCGTGTCGCTAAAACTACCCGTATCTGCGAAACAACGATACATGTGTTTGCACGATGCGTGATGCGCTGGGAGAGCTTTAAATTCCATTTAAAATTAAATATGTAGTTAGAACTTTCAAGTTTTCTTTTTATATGTTTGTCTTAAATATTAGAGTTAAATTTTTATTTCTTTGATAAATTATTTTTGTAATATTAAATAATATAATTTTATATAATATTATATGATATATCAAATAATATAGCATATAAATAATATTTATATATTATATTCCATAATATATTATATATACATATATATATATATGTATTTTTCAAGATTAAATGTATATTGAATATATTACACCACAGAAAAGTTGCAATTAATTATTTACTTTATTTTAATCCAATTTTGATATTAAATTTATATCAATAAATTTGTATCCACATAATGTGAAAAATCCCTGTTGTGTCAAAAAATGTTTACTTTTTAAGATTTTTATTAAATGTTATACATTTATTGTACAGTAATTTTTACCACATTAATTTTAAGTTTATTATTTCACATTAAATTTGTATTCAACGATATGAGAAATCTCAGTTTGAATAAGCAATTGCGAAATGTTTTTAATTAAATATTTGTATTTATTGTGTGTTAATTTCGCCATATTATTTTTAAATTCCGTATTTGTCCATTTTTGTATTCAGATATTTGAGAAATCTTCAAGTTTGAACAAACAAATTTAAATAAACAATTGGAAAATATTTGATAGTTTAGCTCAATGTTCAGCATCAAAAAACTTACCGAAAATGATTACAGAATTAAGACGAGTTTGAAGTATTAATGCTTTCTTTAGCATTTTCTCGAAATATCTTTTTTTTTTTTGCAACACGTCAGAGCTTTGAAAATGATAGAACAAAGGCACAAAGTTGGATATAATACAAATATGCAAATTTCCAGTTAATTTCGATCAGAGTATATATTATAATTTTTTTACGAGAATATGAAACTAGATATAAATGTTAGAAGCGAATGCGTGTTCAGTCTTTACTACTGTCGGATGACAGACAGAGGGAGACAGACGTTCGTGACTTTGCGAACTCGAAGAAAACTTTCATAACGTTCGCATGGACGTACGTCCGCAATTCTCTAACTACCAGCTAAAATCCAAGTGTAACAAGTTCGTGACTGCAAATCTCAACGAAAATTTATGTTACTACTCCGCAAAGCTCTTACTTTTTCGGCTACACGTCACTGCATCGTGACGGTAAAATCAATACCATTCTTATAAAGAATTAGTACGCATCAGTGAAAGACCGAAGCTAGACAGAACATTGAACACAATTCTCGTTAAAGAGAGGTAAAATACATAAAATAATAATATAGAAAATATATTAATAAAAAATAATAATATAACTAATAAATAAAAATAATAATAATATACAGGGTGTCTGACATAAGGAGTTACACAAAAAATATACAAGTAAAACTTGTTATTTGAAGATAATTTTTCCTCAGCAAAAATATTGAGGCATCAATAATTTTCGAGTTATAAGCGATTGAAAATAAAGAGTTTTTCGTAAATTAAGAATTGTGGAAATAAAATATATTAATAAAACCACTTTTTCCAATTAATTTCAAGTAGAGTTTACTTTAATAAAATTTTAATTTAAGATTTAATTATAAAGGTACATGATGACAAAAATTGGGAGGAAAAATCGTCTCCAAATAACAAGATTTACTTGTATATTTTCAGTGTGACACTTTATGTCAGACACCCTGTACGAAAAAGCAAAGTTCTTTTAACATTCGAGAATCAATTTTAATGAATTTATTTCGAAATTAACTCGTAAAAAATGCAATAGATTAATACATGTATTTAGTTACTCTAATGGAAATAATTAAAACGCACATTTTTAAGAGGATCCTTTAAGGAGATCCTAAACGTCCTTGAGAAGTCTGTTGTTTTTTCCTGTTTTATCGACAAAATATGAGGTTAGATAAACTATAAATCTATTTATTGGCTATACAAACTGTTTTTTACCCGAAATTAGAGCGCTTTACCCTTGTTTAATATTAATACTTTAATTTGTACAGGAAAAATATTTATCAATAGTCTCATATATCTTGAATTCAGGTACAATCCGTATAGCCAGTAAATAGATTTATAGTTTATCTAACCTCACATTTTGTCGATAAAACAGGAAAAAACAACAGATTTCTCAAGAACGATTACGATCCCATTAACATCTACAAAAGGGAGAAAAATGAAAAATAAATTTCATCCTGATCTTTCCGATCGATGTAAACAGAATAAAACGTTCCTTTTTCCTCTCACCTTTCTCGTCTTGGGGGACGTCAGCGTTGCTGAGACTCCTGGTGAACTGGCTTCTCTTGTCGTGCTCGTCGTGACCGTTGTCGGTGACCTGGTGTCTGGACGTCTTCTCGTAGGAGCTCGACTGGCCGCTGTACTCGCTGCTTTCGGGCATGGACGCGGCACGGCGTGTCCGCGCGTCGTCGCCGATCGTCGCGACGTCGTCGACGTCGTAGGCGGATTTTTTTCGGAAGGATCGTCGCCGGGGCGGCCGGGGCGGCAGGTACGCCACGTTGTCGACGTGCGACGACGTTTTCGTGTTTGGTGGGTGTTGGTGGTGGTGATGATGATCGTCGACCCGTGAGTGGTAGTTTTTAGCAATGTCGGAGGTAGCGGTTTGGGAATCAAAGAGACTCGAATTAGCGTTACCAGGGCGGGGTGCTCGGTTACGGGGCCTACGCGGATCGCACGGGCCAAATCCGCAGTTCTCGCTGCACTGGCTCTCGCTCTCCATCGAGTACTCGTAGTACTCGAGGGTGTCGCTGATCGCCACGTTCCTCTTACTACTTCCCTGCGGTTGCTGATGATGATGCTGCTGCGGCTGCTGCTGCGGTTGCTGCTGCTGTTGCTGACTCGGATGCCTCTGCTGCGGTTGCTGCTGATGACGCTGCTGCTGTTGTTGCTGCTGTTGCTGGTGCTGTTGGTGCTGCTGATGCTGCCGCTGCCTCTTGTCAAACTGTTCGATATCCCTAGCCTCTGGACAGCTGCTGTTTCGCCTACGATATCTATGCTTCGACTCGAACGATGACCGCCGAGTGTCGTCGACCTTTCGCGACAGCGATCCCGACCTACCTAACTCCGAGGATGACAGCTCACGACACTCGGGGCAACTACTCTTACGCCTAGCGCGAGACGACGCATATCGCTGCGACCCTGACGACCTAACTAGCTCGCGATTATCCTGATAACGGTTCTCGTAATCGTGTCTTGCGTCTAACAAGTAGCTATCACGATCTTGTTCGAGGTAACCCGAAGATCGCCCGGTTGCTCTAGCCTCCGAGGTAGCGATCCGACGGAAATGATCGGCGCCTACGACCGTCTCTACGGAGCCGAACTCCTCGTCGGAGTCCAACACGAAGCTCGACGTCCTCTCGTTCTCCATACGGGCGCCGTGTATTCGCAGATCTCTGCTCTCGGGACAGCTGCTGTTTCGTTTGCGGCGGTACATGCGTCTGGTGCGATCCGCAATCGAGCTCAGGTCCTCGTCCGAGTGTACCATCAGCCTCTTGCTGCTAAGCGATCTCAATTGATGAACGCCGTCTCTGGCACGCGGACTCTCGTAGTCGCCCTCTCGGCTGCCTCTTCTGCTCCTGCGTCTTCGTCTCCGCGGCACGGTCAACGAGGACGACTCGTCGTCGAGGGGACGGAAACTGATGTAATCGCTGGACGACAGCTTTCCGTACGCCGATCCGGCGATTCTCAGGTCGCGGATACTCTCGTTCAGATAGTCGAAGCGCTTCCGCTCGTAATCGTCGACCTTCTCGCGCTCTATGAAGCCTTCGTCGTAATCGGCGTCCCAGTACTTGTCCCTCGAGTAAGAACGACCTCCCGCGATCTCCCCTTGAGATCGCAGGATACCTTTGGCAGGATCCTTCGACATCCACTCCTCGTCGTCGTCGCGGATCTTCGCGGACCTCGCGAGAACGTTGCGCTCGTAAGTTTTCCCGGACGAAGACAGAACCTCCTCGATGTCGGAGTAGATCTGTTCGATTGTGTTGCAGAAATCGCTGTCCAGATTCTTCAGTCTCTTCTCCGTGGATATATCCCGGATGTACGAGGACTCGTGATTCAAGTAGCTCTCGTCCACGTATTTTCTCTTGCCGGTGTCGTCTTTCTCCAGAACGTTCCTCGGATCTGTTCGCTCGGATCTGTCAGTCAAATGCGAACCGTACGTGGACGACGTGGATTGACGATAATCGTCCATGACGTTTCGTTTCTCGAAGCTCGGAACGTAAATCTCCGTCTCGTCGCAACTGAGCTCCGAGTCGTATCCGTAAAACGGCTTGCGGCGGTCTTGTAGAAGAAACTCGTAATTCGTCTCCTTGTTAGCGAGTTTCGCGATAGGCACTTTGTCGTCGCCGTTAGAATCGTAGTAGGACTTGCTCTGATCGCCCAGCGCCGGTATCTTGTCGCCGTAGCCGGCGTCGCTGAGAGAGAGATTCCGCTTCAGCTTTCTCCGGGCGGTCCTGAGACTGTCGTCGCTGAATATGTTGCTCGAAATGCTCTCGTACTCGAAACTCTTGGCCCGGCGCGATAGCCTAGTGGTAGTACCGAAACGATCATCACCGTATGTATCGTGCATCATCGTCGCGTCGTGATCGAAGCTCCTAGCCTTAGCTAAGATTAAGAGAGACCTACTAGCGTCTACGCCACTAATATCGCGACGATCGTCATCGGGGTGACCCCTCGAGACAATCGTCGTCGTCGTCGTTCTCGTCGTCGTCGTGGACTCTAACGCGTCGCGCTCGGATTGGAACCTCTCCAGAATACGATCGTTAAAGTCGACATATAACTCCGGTATACGTCGATTCTTAGCTGCCACGGGTCTCTCCGGCCTGTGTATGTGCCCCTCGGAAACGCTGTACTCGCTGGTCTCGGGGCTGTAATATCTCAGCATGTTCTCGTCGACGGTCTGCGATCTCGTGAAGGGCGTACGCATCTTTTTGTACAACGAGCGCACCACTGCGGACTTGCTCCGTACGAGGGGACGCGGAAGGAAGGGACACTTGCCGGGGTTGTTCTTGGGGTTACGTTTGTTGGAGGGATTGCTGTTGCTCGGACAATGGCATTCGCTGCAGGGTACCCTAAATTTGTGCCTGCGCCTATTGCGCCTAAGGGGCTGGGGCTGGGGGATATGACACCGGGTATTAATACGTTTTTAACTGTCGGTCTGTAAACAATGTTTTTTTCATATAGAGAGATCTTAGCGCTCTTGCGGAAACACACAAACCAAGGGGTGAGCCCATTCCGCTTTTCTTTTTTTTTTGTTAAAGAAGGATGTTTTACCGCGCGTTCGCGATCGATCGAACTCGTATCATCATGAAATCTCAGAACTCGACTCTGCCGAGAGCAACGGGTCGGCATTTCAGAAGAGACACGCGGCGATCGCGGTGTTTTTTTTTTCTTTTCTACAACGTGTCTCTATAGTATAGACGAGGCACACAACTAAGAGGCACCTAAACCGTTCGACCAACGCCACGCACTTGTGAGATCCCTGCTCTCTTAGAATGGGACACATATGGTTTTTATTAAATGGACATTGACACAGAGAAGAGTGCATAGGAAGTGCAATCTAATGTAATCGCTTCGTTAAGAGAAGGCGGGGAGAGAAACACTTGGAACATTGACGCGCAAGCAGGAGGATGTAAAGAAGTGCGACTACTGGGAATGACCATTTAGTCGACAATGTCCATTTAATCCAAGGATTATCCTTGATTTGAGAGATCGAGCTGATGAGTGTGCCATTCCGCGCCGATCGATCTTTATCTCTCTCTTTCTCTCTCTCTCTTTCTCTCTCTTTCTCTCTCTCTCTCTCTCGTATACGTGTATGTAGTCTCTGTTTGTCGGGACACACAAAAGTTGCGGTTTTACGATATCCCGTGTATATATATATATATATATATATATATATATATATATATATATATACATCGCGACGCTGTTGACACTATATAGACACGATGATCAGTTTGACACTGGACACACTCGATGTTCGATCCCTCCCCTAACGGGACGCTCTCTTCGACTATTATATGGAATATATCTGCGTTGCTTTGCACGTTGCAACGCGAGGTCGTCCGATATACGATAAGATGTAAGCGTATATTAATGATTACGAAACTATACTCACATTAGTGCTCTCGATCCACGTGGTCGTTCCGATTGTGTACTAAAGGCACTGCTCGTTACCGAGGCTATGCTCTCCATATCAGAATCACCGAGATCACCAAGCACATCCTTGTCGGGGCTCAGGTGGCCCTTCCTAGGTCTGTGCATCCTGTAAGCGTGACTGTGCGACAACGTTAATGGATCGTGTCCGATCGAGGGAAGATCCGAGTCCGAAAGGCCACTGTGCATAAAATGCTTTTCCCAGCCTAGAAATAAATTGTAATCGATATTATTCGAGAGATACTGTATTAATAAGCATCCAGCCGCCATTAAAAACTAATTTACGTCATATATGTACAAATTATAGTCTCTTAAAAGAATGAATCACAGGATTCTAATACCCTAATCTAACCTTCTACTATAACCTAACCTTTCATCTTATTTTAAAGTCATTGTAGAATTTACTAATGTCCAATGAACAGATTGTAAAGTATTCTAGGGTTTAAAAAAGAGATACAGTAATTAAAAAAAATCTTTGTTAAAAAAGGCTTGATCATTTAACTTTGAAGCACTCTGTATGTATCTATTTCTATTTCTTGTCTCAGTACCAAATAATATCGATCATTGAAAACACCAACTCTCACCTCCTGAGCCTGTACTCCTGTATATCTGTCTGTTACGGTGTGGTCTCATGAATCTCGCCCGTTCTTCAAGATCTTGCGTGACCCTTTCCTTCAAGGCTGCTGGGATTTGAGGTAGCTGACGTTTCTTTGGCGATCCAGTGGGAGTGGCGGTCGCCGATCTCGAGCCGAATCTTAAATAAACGCGATGGTGAGAACCCGCATTCTCTTTTATAGACAACTTTTGATGAATAAATAAAAGAACTATTGACCGATATACTTCTTACCTCGTCGGGTGAACGTATCCGTGCGAGTAGGGGAATGATCTGTGTTCAGGCGGAGACAAGGAACGATGACCGGTGGGACTCTGAGATCTTCCTCGGTATCTGACACTTGGAGAGTCCATAGGAGCTGCGCTGTGCGATCTGTGACCCATCATGCCCCGATGGATGTCGTCCTGGGGATACGCATGTAATGATATTATAATATGGATGAACATTAATTAATTATACGCATGAGATATTAATGTATCTTAATCGCGATTATGCAGAATATATTATAAATGTTAGTCGCTCTCGCCAAGAAAGTATTCTATCGATCAAAATAAGCCAAAAAGTTTATATAATATGTTCAAAAATTATTATTTTAATTGGCTCCTTTGTTTTGCCAGAACAGATGCACTATTCAGATAATTTTTTGAAAATAATTTGCTTGAGAATAAATTCTTTTGAAATATTATTTACTCCTCAACTTGAAATTCAATTTCGAATATTCATATATTCAAATTTTCAAATTCTTAACTCTCAATTCAATCCAAGTGCAAGACTGATCAATATAATTTCCTTTATTTCTTCCGTTTTATCTGATTTATTTGAATTAATCTGCTGAATTATAATTATTAATTATTTATTAGCTGCGATTTGTAACTATAACTATACATCTAACTTAACAAAAAAGAAAAAACAGCTGCAGAAATTAAAATTCATCCAAAGGCTTTAGATTAAAATAAATAAATGGTACTTAAATAAAAAAATATTTTGAGCTATGAGAATAATTTCCTATATTATTCTGTATCCTTGAAAATAAAATAATACGTTTCCCAATTATCTTCAATTAATTATCTCAATCTAAGAAAATGACTTGTTTTTTATATATATATATTAATATGAACTTTTCCTGTAACTTTTTCCTTCGCAAAATTTATCGACTTTTTTTAAACACCTACCTTACGATACGTCTGATAAGTCGATCCGATGGTCGCCGGCTGGTCGCGCGAGATCATCAGGGCCGCTCGCTTGCGTCCTTGAGGCGACATGTCCCTGCGACTCCGATGCTCGCCGTCGATGCAGAGCTCTCTCTCCGGCGGCGGGCTAGAATAGTGGCTGCTCCAGCATGCGTTCATTTTTTTCAATCAATCAGTGAATACTGCGTGCCTTACGAGTTAAATGAGGCGAGTGCTGTGAGTCTCGCGCTAATCTCAAAAAATTGCATGCGGCCAGGATGGTAAGAGAAGCGGAAGGGAAGATATTTATATCTCTTTGGTTGCGCGCTATATATAAAAATAAAAAAAAAAAAAAAACGAACAGCACCGAGGAATGTAAACGAGAAATGAAGAGAACTAGATCAAGGTAAAAATTCAGTCAGACTTATCTCTCGAAAAATAAATTCGTACGCATTATTTGGCGTATATATGTATATATATTCTAGCTCGCGAACTTCAATTTGGTAGATTCGCGAAGGATGCATATCTTCTAATTTTGGCGCGGGAGAAAGCGAGGCTCCAAACTTATTCGGCAATGCAGTCGAGTCTCCTCGGCGTTTGCACACAGTGTTCTCGATATTGCGACGCTCTTTTCGTTGCCAAAAGTCAAACTGGCGCGATAAAAAGAGAGAGGAAGAAGTCTCCCGCCCCATAAAACTCTAGGGAGGGTCCATATGCCATGTGTGTAAGTAAGTGCGTTCGATGAGAAAGTGCCAAGACTTTTGCGTAAAAGTAATCGGGACGATTCTTGCACGTCAATGATCGATCGATCGTGCGAAATGTGTGTCGATATACAAGATCCGAGAGAAAGATCTTCACCGGTTCTGGCAACGAAAAGAGCAAAGTGTCCCGTGCAAGACAGTCTCAATGTTGCATTGTCATCTGTCAAAATCCAAAGAGAACAGAAAAGTCAAAAGATGATATCAACTTCACGTCATGTTGACTAAATTTATGTCATTTTTGGTCATAGAAATCTCGATCTCGAAGATGACTAAAAATGACTTTAGATTTTTAGAAAATGTGACGTACGTTTCTCGACTGTGTATATACAATGCTTATTAACGTTTTTCACATTCAGATATTATTGTATTAAAAACCGAATTGTTGATCACAATATTATTTTAAGCGGCTTACACGTCTTAAATTTGCATCTCAATTATTTTTAATACAAAATAATAATTTTTTATCATTGTGAACATCAAGATAACATCAAAATTTTATGCAATTTGATGTCATTTTGACGAACTAAAATGACCATATTTTGACGTCAATTTCACATCACTTTGACATTTCCGTTCTCCTTGGGAAGCTCGCAAAGAGAGAGAGAGAGAAAAAAAAAAGATTCAATCCACCCCGGCCGATGCATCGCGATGCACTAAGCGTTCTAAAAAAGCCATGTCCCGTCGCATTCTAAGATTTCAATACGTACATAATATGCAAGAAGCAATGACAGTATGACGTCTAAAGTGCCTACATGGATGGCGACTCGCTAATTTTTTTTTTTTTTTTTTTTCGTTCTCTGCTATTTTGTTATTTTAATTAATTTACTATCTCTTCTCGCGTTTTTTTTTTTTAGCGAAGAACAAAGAACCAATTGCCCCGAAAATTTTTATTGTGCGTTTTGTGAGAGAGAGATATTCACCGACTTGCGTAAAATATTGCAACAGGAAGAATGGAAGAAAGTTTAACGCCAATAGCAATATTTCTTGTCACCGATGACGTTTGTGTCATAGTCACTGTTTCTTTCTTCGCACGAGAAAACACTTTTTCTGCCACCCCATCCCCCACCCTCCACCCTCTATCCGTCCTTATTATATCCCTATCGAATAAAGATTTCTCTCATGTTCTTGTTATCTGTTTCTTAGATTGAGTTAGTTACGTGATCGCGCGTCAGTTTCGCGATTGTCTCGTCTCTCTATTACATGTATATATATATATATATATATATATATATATATATACTTGCGATATTCTCTCTGTCGCTATAATTATAACTGACTGACTGACTGATCTACGGCGCGGCATTATTTGTATATAATAACCTAGCGGTGAGGATGCAAGACGTGTGTGACTGCGTGAATGAAGGAGGAGAAAATATAAATTGTAATGGCCGTACCGCTTATAATTTGACGACATATTATGAAACCTAAAAAATAAATAACAAAGCACACGATTAAAATTAAAATCAACGAGCGAGTTGGGCGCGGCCGCGGCCAACGCATCATTGTGTCTAATTAATGTTTCTTCCCAAGGAAAATATTTTCTATATATAACAATAAAATTATATAGAAATATATAAAATTATACATATAATCGCAAAATTATATATGAAATATGTCCATACTTAATTAGATAAGAGTGCTGTTTATATATATAATTATATAAATTTTATATATGTATATATAATAAATAAGTATTTCTTCATATATATAAATATATATGTTTCATATATAATTTGACATAATTATATATAAACCCTTATAATTTATATATATAAAATATAATTATGTATAAAAATAGATATATTTTATATATAATTTTACGATTATATGTATAATTATACAATTATTTATATATAATTATATATAAAAAATTTTTTCCGGGTTATCTCGCCCGATAATATAGATTGTATATTTTAATATTCGAAATGTTTCATATCTCATATTTGTCCATTCAAGGAATATATTGTCTTATATAGATTTTTATGTACGCATATGAAGAAGAAAGTTGCCAAAACCGACATGTCACATTTTTCAGGCTCTAGCTTCTAGTTAAAAATTCGAAAGAAAAATTTATACCCGCAGATATTTATTGGAAACTATTCTTCATCAGTTTCGATAATATTGTTTTAAACTTTTAAATAAATGTGTGGCCTTTTTGTAAAATATTTTGAACAAAATTTGATTAAAGAGAAATGTGCGAGAAATTAATCTCCAAAACCGATATATCCGCCAAAAATTATAGAAATACGATAAAATATGCAGAAAAGTATTTGTAATAAATTATTTAATTGAAAAAAATTATTACTGAATTTTAAATAAATTATATTTTTAATTATATATTTTTAAATTCTGTCAATATATAAATTGCAAAGTAAATCGAAAAAACTAATTTAATTTTGCTAACTGCATTTTCCTTAAGAAAAGATAAAGATAAAAATTAAATAGAAGTAAAATTATATAAAATTAAAACAGATTTAGAAATCTATTTAGGAAAAAACATATATAAAATAAATGTTTATATATTTATTATTATTTTTAGATTATATAATTTATTGAAAAATGACAAATATAGAAACTTTAAAAATTAGAAACAAGCTAATTCAGCATATAAATGAGTTAATATAAATGCATTATTCAAATGAGTAAACTGTAAACAAACAAACTCGTATTAATTCTGATAATGTGTATCACGTAATTAATAAGATATATCGGTTTACGAGTCTCTGTCGATTTTGGTACTTTCTTTTTTTAAAACCTCAATGTTTACGGAATCATAGAAACGCGGTATAGAAAGAAATCATGTAAGATATATACAATTACGGATGTAAATTTCTTTTACAATTAATACTTATTATTCTATTAAGAGAGTTATTTCTATTTTGTCATCAAATATAACAATTTACATGTTCGTGTATGTATATGTATATGTGTGCGGGCGCACTTTTGAATAAAATTATATTTCATCGAATTGCGCATATATGTATATCGTTCATATACAGGATGTTTCAGAACTGGCGGAAAAGTTTTTATTTCCTGGTATCATTCGGAGACGATTTTTTCTCAGCAAAAATGTCGAGACACTAATAATTTTCGAGTTATAAATAGTTGCAAATAAAGGCTTTTTTGAAAACTAAGCCTTGTGAAAATAAAATATTAACAAAATTACATTCTTCAGTTAATTTTAGGTAGAGTTTGCTTTAATAGAATTTTAAACACAGTTATAAACAGTGTTTGCTGTTATCTAAATAAAATTATATAGATAATAAAAATATGTATTAAATATATCTGCATCTTAGATGAAAAAAAAAGTATTATCTTTACTAAATTATCTAGAATAATTTTCAGATAATTTTGATTTCGAATCTTGTTCGAACTTGAACAATAAGCGATAAAAATTTATAAATAAAAATATGAATACATATATTTTTACATCCTTTTTATAATTTATAATTTATAATTTATAATTTTATAATTTTTTTATAATTATGTTTATATAAGCAGTCTTAAAAATGATTATCTAGAAAATTATCTAGATAAATCGCCATATAATTTTATCTTTTATCTAGATATATATTTAAAACAAAATCATCTTCATCTTATCTAAGCTGAATTTACATATTTTTATCTCATCTTTATCTAGCTAATTTTAAAATCATCTAAGCGCAACACTGGTTATAAAGATACATAATGGGCAAAAATTGGAAAACATGCTAAAAATGACGGTCTCCCTCAACATTTTCACTAAGAAAAAATGGTCTCCAATTATCTAGATGAATCGCCATATAATTTTATCTTTTATCTAGATATATATTTAAAACAAAATCATCTTCATCTCATCTAAGCTGAATTTACATATTTTTATCTCATCTTTATCTAGCTAATTTTAAAATCATCTAAGCGCAACACTGATTATAAAGATACATAATAGGCAAAAATTGGAAAACATGCTAAAAATGACGGTCTCCCTCAACATTTTCACTAAGAAAAAATCTAGATGAATCGCCATATTTTATCTTTTATCTAGATATATATTTAAAATCATCTTCAATCTAAGCTGAATTTACATATATCATCTTTATCTAGAATTTTAAAATCATCTAAGTATAAAGATACATAATAGGCAAAAATTGGAAAACATGCTAAAAATGACGGTCTCCCTCAACATTTTCACTAAGAAAAAATTGTCTTTAATTATCTAGAAAATTATCTAGATGAATCGCCATATAATTTTATCTTTTATCTAGATATATATTTAAAACAAAATCATCTTCATCTTATCTAAGCTGAATTTACATATTTTTATCTCATCTTTATCTAGCTAATTTTAAAATCATCTAAGCGCAACACTGGTTATAAAGATACATAATGGGCAAAAATTGGAAAACATGCTAAAAATGACAGTCTCCCTCAACATTTTCACTAAGCAAAAGTGGTCTCCAAACGATACCAGGAATCTGACATGAGAAACTTTTCCGCCAGTTCCGAAACACCCTGTATATTCGCATCATCGTCACTGCAAACTCGACGACGAAAGAATTATTAATGTAACCCCGGCGAAACCCTTTCGAATAATCTCATTAGACGATGGTAACTGAAGGTTGTTAAATATGCGCAGGATGTCCATCGCTCTCTCGGGGGAAGGACACCGGAATGTTTCAATTACTCGGGACAGCTTTTACAGAGGCTGTGACGCGCGCTTAGGGATAGAGACCGCTCACACTTTGCAGATCGAAGCTGATGTTCGGTATATAAAAGAAGTGCAGAGCGATGCCGGATAGTATCTCGGCTTATCCCCATCTCTCTGCCACTCTACCTGTCAAGCCTATCGAGGATAGCGTATACGTTTTTTTTTTTTTTTTTTTTCATTCGATCCGCCGCTACATTGATTCGATTTCTCGCGTATCGTCGACGGCAAAATTTACGAGCGAGTCGCTCTTTAAAGCAGCCTAAACACGGGGGAAGACGCAAATTGGAGAAATTTATTTTACCAATATTCGGTTGTAAATTTTAACGTCGTTATTAAGCGAATTATTAATTTACAATTAATGAGCAATTTATTAAAAAAAAAAAATTTAACGCCAGATTGTGAAAGTAATTTTATCGTTACACAGATTTTTGACTACAACACCTTACATGTAATTTTTCTTCCATATTTCCGGCACCATCCCGTTTGCAGATAAGAGAGAGAGCGGAGGCTCAAAAGCTTTGGCGAAAACCACACTTTGTACTCACAAATAACGATCGGACATCACCGTCGGAATATTAATATGGATACGAGTTTTAAGGCTGACTTCCGGAGCTGGCGATGGTCGCGGGCCAACTGCTATGTCAATTGGCTTGTTGCCCAGTTTTATAACTTGGCTTTTGCCCTCTCTCTTTCTTTCTTTCGATTATCCCTTCCAATATTCACAACTCTCGTCCTTTTTTTGTTCCCAATAATTTATATTGTATAGCATTATATATTCGTACTTGTGTCTCTGTTTCTTTCTCTTCCTTACTTGGCCTCGGTTATTAATCATATAAAAAAAAGAAAGTCCAACTTTGCATGATAGGAGCCACTATTAAATTATTATAGAAACCTATTTGCAATGTAACTATTAATTAATTATAATTATGCAATTAATTTTATACGACAAATGATTGACAAAAGTGGCTCGAAATGCGATCTAGTAAAATATTATTCAAGTAAATTTTAATAAAATATTCCATATCCTTAGCACAGATGTCTAATTTTAGTAATTATAATATTCAATTACAGCTCGGCCTCGTTATATAACTACAAAAATATGTAATATATTACAAAAAAAATATGTAAAATTACGTAAATAATAAATGTAAAATTACACTTAATCATGTAATTTTACATATTTTTTTTACAGTGTAAGGACCTTTCTCGCGCGGAATTTTTTTTTTTCACGGAATCTAGGACGAATATATGCCTCCCCCGTGTTATCAGTGATAAGAATCGCGATACGCAAGCTATCGGTCAAGTGTGACTTTTTACTGATTTTATCTCAACCTAACCTTCTCTGTTTCTTGTTTAATAAAAACAAATTTTTTTTCTTACATACACGACGAAAATTTACCGAATTTATGTTCAACGCGCGAAAAATCTGAATTTCCAATAGATTTTCGGCAACTTGACGTAACACTCTCTCGCCAGACTGAGATTTAATACGTATATGTATGTATATCACAGCGAGATCTCAAGATAGATGATATTACCTAGAGGAACTGCCGATACTACTTATGCTGGCACCGTCAGCCGTTCTTCTTTGTTCCCTGGACCCGTCACAGTCCGTAATATCGCACTCCGAGGTGTCGGAGTCACTTAATCTCGAAGTGGTCGACGGCGGACTGAGATGATGATCCAGCACGTCGTCAGAATCTTGGTAATGCCTATAGAGCGCAAGAAAATATAAACGTTCAACGCTCTGGGCGATTGATTAAATTCATTCGTGGTCTTCCTTTCGGAAGGAGAACTTAAAGTCTCCGAGAACTCTCTCGAATTCGTCCTCTCGCGTGGACTCTCGCGGAGATAAGCAAACCGGGTGGGTGACGTCACATCCGTATAAGCAAGGGACCGAGAACACTGTCGAACATCCCGCGGGGGATTCGGGATATATCGATGCGAGGCATTTATTTGATCTGCTTTTAGTATTGGCATCTCGGAACTACCAGCCGATCCGCGAGCGCGATTCATACCTGACGTGCCGGTGCTCCTGGTGAGCGGTCAGAGAATGCCATTCTGGTTCATCGTCTAAGAGACATACTCCCAATTCCAGGACAGCCTCGCCGAGAAAATCGTTCGTCTCGTACCTTCCCTCGTAGTCCCAGACCGTAATTTCCAAAGCTCTTTTCTTCAATTCCGAACGTCTCACTCCGGTATAAACGAACATCTGATTCCACCTAGGGTCATTCGTATTCGCCACCGTCTTCGTACGTCGCTTCGATTTCTCGCTGCAACATTTCGAGGAACGTGCGTGTCAATTTTAAGAATTATTGTTTCATTCAATGATGGAGATTTGGATATCCAAAGTTGCCCTAACAACACATATATATCCCGAAGACGTTCAGAGAATATCCTTATGTTGTGCTATTATGATGGTTATCCATCCAAGTAGCAAACTGATATCATTAAACGTCAAAATGACGTCGATAAATGTCAAAATGGCGCACGCTTACTACCCAAGCATACATTAACGAAATGGTGAAAAATGATGAATACCCGAGTATCTAAAGTTGCCCGGTTATCTACCCAAATATCAAACATTGATGTCAAAATGACGTCATTTGATGTCAAAATTGTTACCTAGGCATAATACATTGATGAAGGGGTGAACAATGATGGATACCTGGTGTATGCACCCAAATAGTAAACGGACGTCATTAAATGTCAAAATGTCACTTTGACGTTTAATAACGTCATTGCTGTCAAAATACGTACGCTCGCTACCTAGGCATACATTAATGAAAAATTATGCATTGACAGAGGAATGAAATGTAAAATAGAATTTAGATCGAAATTTGTTGACAGGTGGGAAAAATGAAACAATTTGTCTTTATAAAAGTTTATAATGAGCCACGACTATTGATCTAAAAAATTGTAAAAAATTGACGTTGCTCACCTTTTGTCGGGAAGCAGAAAGACTTTGGCGTAAGGATTTCTCGGTTGGCCGTTGCTCTTCGGAGTGAGTCCCGCAGCACAAATAATGGTGACCATCAGCTGGAGTCCCATGAGATCGAAGCCGAGCTTCACCTGAATGCTGCCGCCCACGTTCGCGTTTCCGGTTGGATATCGGGAGTGTCGACCGCGTCCTTGGGCGTGCAGGTCCGGCGAGCCGGGTGACGTCACTAAAACCGAGGGTTTCTCACGCCTCGCGTCGTACAACTCTGCAAGTGATCGTGCGGTGTCGACTAGGATATAACTTTCGTTTCCGTTTTACCTGCTATCTTGGAGCGATTCACGAAGTGGGAGGGTGTGCTCGAGATACGAAATGGGGACGAGCGAAGGGTATATAAAAACGACATAGATGAGAAGATGCATAAATGAAGAGACGGAAGACGAAGAAATCGGGGGTGAAATTCGAGCGAACGGAAATAAATTTTCATCTCGAGTTGCACTAATTGCGTTCTTGGAAGTAAATATATATATATATGTGTATATATGTCACAAATGTGTTTGCGTTTACGAGACGTATCGGGTAAATACACTCATAAAAAATCACACAACACAGAAAAAATTGCAAATACGTTCGAAAGGCTCAGGGGACGTCCGTCTTGGAGAGTGGACACTCTAGCAAAAATTATAGCCGCGAAAACAAGTTCTCTATCTCTCGCGGCGTCATCGAACCTCCGAGGGGGAACATTACAAAATCAATAAACTATTTCCGAACAGTTCTGGAAACACACCCACGTCTTTTTAAAGAGAAGCGCAGTCCGCATGCACGGGTTCTCACAAAAATCACGGAAATCCGTGACAATGAGTTAAGAAAATGAAAGAGGTGGGTCGGAGGGTGAGAGGGAGCTGTTATGAGACAATAATGTTAGATCGATACACAATTGATAGATAGACATAACGGTGAATTGCACAGTAAATTATACTTATTTTCGTAAGGAATTATTACACGAGAGATTTTTTTTTTCATATTCGGTAAAAGTATAGAGAAGATATAGATGGCGCCTTTCTTTATATATTTTGCGTATATATATATATATATATATATGTATATATATATATATATGTGTGTGTGTATATATAGTTATATAATATAGTTGTTGCTCCCATAAGACTATTTACCTATACAACGGTGCTCTTTAGCGAGGGAAAAGGGGTGCATTAGCACTACGGTCTACGTCTACGTTAAACATCGACGATATATACTCAAGACAGAACGAGTGGATTAACTCTTGTTGCTCCGTCATATATGATTTGTCGAAATAATTGCGGTTCCATTTGTGGTTCAGAGTTCGAAAAAAAAATCTTACAAATTGGAGAGGGAAATATACCAACGATACAGAGGTAAGAGAGACACCGAGATCAAAGATTGAAATACTTTAAAGAGACACAGAGATTTTTAGTCTCTGTTGTGAGGCCTACCCCATAGAATACATTTCTTAAGACCTGGAAAAATCATACAATCCGTATGATAATAATATGTCTCATCGGTTCCAGTAATGTAGATACTTAACGTATATACTTATGCGAGTAATAAAGAGTGTGCGGGAGTAATCCCGCTTCATTTCAAAGAATACGTCTAATGGGATTTAATTGGTATCGATAATTGTTCGATATTCATCGAGTCGGAATATAATTAATTCTCAGCCCTTTCACAAAATCTATCTGATATTGTCGTAGATATATTACGCGTGCTACACTTTATTCCTGGCATCGTGTTTTTTTATGCTTGCAATCTTTCTTATTATTTAAATATTCTGTATGTGTAGAATTTTAAAAAGGTACAGAAGAATTTGTAGAGTATGGATAAAAACATTGATTTAGCCGAAAGACTTGTACAAGATCTAAATGCCAGGAATACTTTTGACTCTTGACTAATCATATTCAACTTACACAGCACAACGTATGCTTCTATAACTCCTACATTATTAATTTATAATTCTATAACAAATGTCTAGAAAACACATTCTCTACCTCATCATATTTCTAATTAATATTCATAAAATTTACTTCTCACAATGTTTATTAAAGTTACGTGTGGCACCCGTAAACCCATGCACGACTATTATAGGAGAGAGAAATTTTGAATCAATAATATATATATTTATTTATTAATAAATATATATGTATATAATTATATATTAATTAGGTATATATAATATAAATTATATTATATATTATATAATAGATATATATTATATATTATATATTATATATTATATAATATAAATTATATTATATATTATATATTTAATTTATATATAAAATAAAATAAATATATATATATAATATCGCAAGCAGCAAACTGACGTCATTAAATGTCAAAATGACGTACGCTCGCTACCTGTGGGATTATTCAATATATATAATTAAATATATATATTTATTTATAAAAATTTAATTAAAAAAATCTGAAGTTTGCAAAATGACGGGTCGCTGATGAAGTAATCTAGATTGACGAACAATTGAGATACACAGAAGCAAAGACTGAAGAAATCGGAAAACGAAACGTGCCGAGCGGGTATAGTCACCTTTGTGATGCGGCTGCGATCCGGAGATGGTCTCGTGTTTCTGCCGCCACTGGCCCTGGGCGACAATTCGCCTGGACGCCATCGGCGTCGACGGACCCGGGCCGGCAGGCGCGATGCCTGTCGTCGTCCCGGACAATTTTCTCTCGACTACGAGCTCGATTTGCGACTCCAGCCTCGACTCCGCGATGATGTCGGAAACTTCCCGGAAGCTTTTGCCCTGCAGGGACCTGCTGTTCCACGCGATCACCTCGTCACCTGAAACAGCCGCAGGGAATACCCGAGAGATCGTCGAGCGTCCTATACCTATACGACGTGTCGTGGATTCGTTCCTATATGCGGATGTGCGTTTCAACGGGAAATGGAAATGGGACGCGCGATTGTTATAGGTATATATACGTGTACGCACGCGGGCGCCGTGTACTTCGCTTCTCGAGATGTCAAAGCTGAAAGCACTGAAATATTCGCAAAGCGACGCGAGACTTTCGTCGATATGATATGCGATGATACGAGGAAAATTCCGTCGCGTTTCCCGATTCTCTCAATGGGATAAGCTCTTGTCACTTTTCTCGTTACTTTATTCAACCATTCAATTTTTTGTATATACATTTATACATGTACGTATAATATAATATTCATATATATTATATATAATTATATATAAACATTCATATATATATGTCATAATAAAATAATATATATAATATTATATATAATATTTCATATTATATGTAATAATAACATAATATATATATATATATATAATATAATATATATATATATGTATATAATAAAATAATATATATAATATTTATATGATGATTTAATTTATATATTGTATATATGTGTGTATAAATTTAATTATTATATAAATATTATAAATAAGATATCCCAGGATAACCACATCATCTGCTAATGACAGATTCTTGAGATCATTTGAAGACGATTTTTCCTCGGCAAAAATATCGAGAGAAATTATCATTTTTTCAATTTTTGCCATCATACATCTTCATAATTAAATCTTGAAATTCTATTAAAATAAATTCCACCTAAAATTATTTGAAAAATATAATTTTATTAATTTTTTAAGTTCACAAAAGTTTAGTTTGCAAAAAGCTCTTGAAAATAATTGATGTGCCTTAACATTTTCATTGAAGAAAAATTGTCTTCAAATAACCACAAGAATGTATCATTAGCAATGACTTTGGGACACCTTGTACATATACAGGGTGTTTCAGAACTGGTGGAAAAGTTTAATGGTAGATTCCTGGTATCATTCGGAGACGATTTTTCCTCAGCAAAAATGTCAAGACACCAAGAATTTTCAAATTACAAGCAGTTGAAAATGAAGACTTTTTTGGCAACTAAGCCTTGTGAAAATAAAATATTAACAAAACTACATTCTTCAGTTAATTTTAGGTAGAGTTTGCTTTAATCAAATTTTAATATAAGGCTTAGTTATGAAGATATATAATAGCAAAAATTAAAAACATGCTAAAAATGATGGCTTCCCTCAACGTTTTCACTAAGAAAAAATCGTCTTCAAATGATACCAGGAATCTGACATTAGAAATTCCGCCAGTTCTGAAACATCAGCCCGTATATAAATCGAATTATTCAATAAAACAACGAGACGTGTGTATATCTGGAACAATTAATTATCGAAATTGCAATTCCTCTAAAACGCAACGTCAAAGTTAACGTGTACTTTCGTTGGCGCGCGATAATCGCGATTCCCACAAGTAATATATATTGTCCGAGGGTCCGCGCGGAAAACTCGAAATCGTTTGATTCTGAACTTTGTAATCCTCTTACCGGGTCTAAGTTGACCTTCTACGTCCGCCGTACTACCCTTTTTCACCTTCTCGATCAAAGCGCCCATGGAACCGTCTTCCAGTAGCTTGCCACCGACAACTTTTAGCCCGAGTATACTACTGCAGCTTCCGGAACCGGCGGACTTTCGCAAAACCATGTGGCCGATGATCTTCTGACCGTCCTCGTTCACTTGCCAGGACAATGGGTGCTACGGAGCGCGTATAGTATTTCTTTTACTGATAACGAGTGTCGCATGCTTTCGTAAACCAAAGAGAAAAAGAACAATATGGAACGTACGTTCGAATTCTGGAGACAGAAAAATCCCGGGTCTAATTATGCTTAATTGCGGAGACAAATTTTCCACTCTGTTGATTAGTAATTTTTAATATATGCACAGAATAATTTGTTACAGCTTGCAAAATGATATAATTTTTTTTTTTTTAACAGGTGTAATTTCCAGTATTCTGGCGTATTTCCACATTGACGATCTATTTATTTCAATTAAGTCACGACTAAAATAAAAACAAATACTACATACGCTTAGCTTAATCCTACTGAAAAAATGCTTTGCGACTATCTGCATTCGATATTTATCACATACACACTCACACACACGTACATTAATTGCGTTTTGCGATAATTTGTCATTAGCAAGAAAATTTGAGAATAAAAAAAGGATGCAAGATATATTGTTCTTCAAATTGATATAAAACTTTTAAGAGGATACACTTTAGGCAAGTTGTATCGAAGATTCAATAATATAATAAAATCGATTTATCGTTAATAATGAGAATATAAATTCTCTAATTATCCGTGATAAGCTGCTCTTGAAAAATAAAAACGCGTGTCTCCGTCTTTCGCAAAACCTTCGTATATCCTCTCAACAGCCTCTGCAAGAAGGCTATCAACAACAATTCGACGAGAAATTCGAATAAAGAAACATAATAGTTGGACGAAGAATAATTAGCATGGCTAGCAACATATATTAATATATGTTGTAACATGTAGCATGTATAAGAACGAATATTAGCAGCCACACACACACTAATACATGCGATAACATGCGTGCAAAACCAGCAAATATTACGGTGTACATAAGGCATTCCATATCCAGAAGGTCTCGAGGACCTCCTAGGCAAATACGGAAAAAAGTGTATACACAGGCATGCAAAGTAACACTGCGTGGTCGTCGAATATACGTAATATAATGCTGCACTGTAAAAAAATATGTTATATATTACATAATATATTACATATGTAATATATTACATGATATATTACATATGTAATATATAATCTATTACATAATAGATTAAATATGTAATATGTTACATAATATATATTACATATGTAATAAATTACATGTGTAACATATTGCATAAAAATTGTAAAATTACATGAATAATAAATGTAAAATCATACGATAAATGATGAAAATGTATAGAATTTTATTATTTATATTGTAATTTTTCACTTATGATTTATGTAATTTTACATATTTTTTACAGTGTGCGTAAAAAATCCTGAGCGCGTGAAATGTATCTCTTTATTTGACAACGACACGATTTCACACAAGGTGGATCTACTTTAGGGAAAGGGGTCGTTTCACTTTTCGATTTCTGGCCTATCGAATGAGAAAGAGTTGCTGATCCATCAGCAACACGCGAGGTCTTGTGAGAGAGAATTTTAATTCAAACTCCCATTCATGATTATAACGTTCTTTTTTATTATTATTATTATTATATAATGTGTTTAATTATAGCAGCAATAATATTCGCGTTAATCCTGCGTTTGGACATTATTGCGATAAATTAAATAATCGATTCGTATAATTGGCTATGTAATATATAAAAAAAAATGCACAAGTGTTTTTAATAGATCTACATTTTATTATCCATTTCTGCTTTTACGCCAGTAAAGTGTCTGAAGTTAGTTCGGAATTACGTATCGTTATAATAAAACGATACCTCCGCTACAAATTGCATAAAAAGGTCGGAATTCCACCGGACATATTGAAATCGCGGAACTGAACGAGATCGAATGTCATCAGGCGGCAATTACGCTTATTCTTCGCTCGGCGATTAAACGTGTACAAGCTTTCTGTGCACAAAATAAATTTGTACACACACAGCAACAGTTAACCACTCGTGTACGATCGTAACAATTGAGAGAAGAGATATTTAAAAAAAAAAATAAATAAATAATCCTTTGCTCACAGATCGAGATGACAACTAACGAGGTCATCAAGTCTCGTCCCATATTGTCGTACCCTTTGGCCGCGTTCCAATTCGATTAATTATGAAACGGATACGCTTTTGTTTCAAGAGAGAGAGAGAGAGACAACATTCGCCAGTTCCTTAATTGGATCATTTCGGATTGGCGGTGCTCCGAGTCAAATTTTCCAAATTACCGAGCTACACCGAAGGGACCCGACAAAGGGATAACGCGTGTGCATCTCGAATGCCGCTTTTTTTTCCGCGTAAATAGAGCCGCGCCTGCCTAGAGACGCGATATTTTTCATTGATCCTGCGAATTAATTCTCCCCCAAGCCGTCTCCCTCGTTCTTCAACTCCGATATTTGTTCGCGAGTACGATTGGCATTTAATTTTGCTCTCGCTTCTTTTCTCCTTTTTTTTTTATATCTTCGCGCGAACGAAGGTTTCCGTCTCACTGCTATTTTAGTCCGCGAGAGAGAGAGAGAGAGAGAGAGAGAGCCGATAAGCAAGTAACGTGACTCGTTTGGGAAATAAATGCGAGAAAGATCGACCGCGCGATCGGAGTCGTTTGGTGAGACGGCACCTAAGTCGGCGCTAAATAAATTACCCGATCGTTTACTCTCGGCGAATTTAATCCTGATTATTTACTTCGTATAATTGGAACGCGACCCGCACGTCTATCACACCCTCTCTTTCTCTCTTTTATATCATGAACGATGTGAGTCGTGTACACAATAGTGTCCATCCGCACACCAACTTTGCACAAATCAGAACCACGAAGTCTTTTTTGACAGTTACTTGACGCGTAAGTTTATGATATTCTTCATATTTATCTATAAGATATATATTTTTAATATCTTTAAAGATATTAAAATATTAAGAACATTTTTTTTTAATTTATTAAAATTTTAATACAATTTCTTGATTAAAAATATTGTTAATATATTAAAAATAATAAATATTAAATATATAATTAAAAATATTTATTAAATAAAAAATAATATTAATTTAATATATTAATATATTAATATATTAATATTTTAATTAAATAAAAAATAAAAAATAATATTAATTTAATATATTAATATTTTAATTTATTACAATTTGATATTAATTTAACATTAAATGTATATGATACTGATTTAAATTATTTAAATATTTCATAGACTTACGCGTCAAATGATGAAAAAATGAATTTACTTTAAGCATTTATCTTTTTTTTTATTATTTGTTTCCAATTGGCAAGAAATTCTCAAATGTATATCGTTACAATTAATTTAGCTAGAGGACACAATTGAGAATATCGATCAGTAGCTATAAATTGTTCGGTAGAAATAAATATGAAATCAAGTGATTTTTGTTTCCGCGAAATTAGTCAATTATATAATTTGATTCGATTCACAGATACCACTCGAATCAAATTCTAGCTGGTGTTTTCAAATCGAAGAATAGAAACGATGACTATAATCAAATCGCAATTGCTGCTTTTCATCGATTTTTATTATTTAAGGAATTCGTTCCGTCGAACACAATAACATCCTCTATTACCATAAAATTGCACAATCATAGATCAAACTCGAATAAAATTAACAAAATGGATTTCACAGAAAACGAAATGCGTTATTCTAGTTATTTCCGAAAGAATTCAGACCTCTTACATCGAATCAATTATCTGCAATTTTCCTTATACGTTTTTTTTTTTTTATGTTTAACTTACGAAAACTTAATTAGATGCCCGATACTTTAACTCGAGAGTGGCGTAGAAGAGAAATGAATATCAGAAATGATATTCATTGTTTAAAAGTCGTCCAAAATTTATGAAATCAACGTTGTAAAACACTTATTGTTAATAAAATCTATTAAATTCACGTTGTAAAACTCGAAAATTATAGTAGATTTCAGTTCACAAAAAGGCACAATGAAATGGATCGAAAAAAAAGTCTGACGCAAGAGAGTAGTTCAAAAGACAATTTTGTCTTTCCACTTAAAACTTATGAATTCACGGAGCACTCTGTGCAAAGTAATCTTATTTTTTTTTTCAGAAATTCCATTATAAGATTTTATTTGAAATAATAAATAAATAATTATTTATTCGAGAATAAAAAATCAACAATATTTCGCGAGTTTAATTTCAGGGATTCAAATCAGCTAATTTTTTTTTTACATATGTCAACGTTTGGTAAGTTATACAAAAAGAAGCCGAAATGTACAAATAAATCATACAAATAAATCTCGAGATCAAAAACGAACACAAGCACACAAGCCTTTAAGCACGAAGTTTAGGATTTAATCGAGCAAAAGAGGTTCTCTCCTATCAGCGTCGAGGGAAGAACAAAAATAAATAAATCAAAGGCAGTAATTTGATAATTATATCTCTTTGAATTCTCGTGCACCAAATCGGTATCTGTCAGCGTAACTTTTCCTCCCTGAAACTTCGACTCTCCTACATATATTCGTAATCCGAAGGTATTCACAGTTGAAAAATTTGTGTTCAATTTAACAGATATCACATGTTGCAAACGGTCCACACAGAAATTTTGGTGTTAATTTAACATAATATGGATATGTTAAATGGAGAATATTTTAACACAAAATAAATGCAAAACTTCAAGTAATTTGAAATAAATTTCGTGTTAAATTAACATAGTTTTAATGTAAAAATATGTTAATTTTATAGATTTTGTTATCCCCACATGATATTATAAAATAAAAAATCAATATATTTTCTGTAAATTTGAACAGATAAATTTTGTCGCTAATAAAACAGAACATTATTTATTGTGTAAAATTAAAAGTACATGCACATTGTATATTATTTTGACATCTTTTTTTTCCATTATTTTAATAATTTAACATTTAAGTTCAATTAACACAACAGCCATAAATTAAATTAACACATGAAAACGTGTTAAATATTTAACACAACAAAATTTTCACGGGGACCGTTTTTAACGAGAAGACACAAATTTTCTTACTGTGTAATAACTAATAAACACGTGCTGCACGCTAATTACAATATCAGTAGTGATCCCTCCCACGCCTCTTCGCTAACGCTATATCAAAGCGAGGAGCGAGAAAGAAAATAATCCGTATTCTACTTTGGACGACGTTCACTCTTCGATATATGTAGACACATACAGGGTAGGCCATTTTAATCTTTCCACTAAAATTTCTCAAAATCTAAAAATTTAAGACAAAAATGTTTCAGATAAAAGTTGTACGGTTTCAAGAGGGACATGAGATGGTGTCATTGATTTGACCTTGAATAGCCATTTGAAGGTTACGTGAAGGTCAAAAAAAATATAAAAATTGCAATAAGCAGTTAGATAATTTTTCTTTAAGACAACTATGTGTTTTCTTTACACCAATTGATTCGTCTCATTATTCTGTGCATAAAAGTATTAAGGTATGATAATCGAAAAATGAATATTTCCCAAGATATTTTGTATTTTATGTCAAAATACTGCAAATTTGCAGCCTTAATAACTCGAAAAATACTTCATGAAAAAATATTTTATTGTAGTGTTTTGGAAAGATCTCGAAGTCAGCTACAAAAGTATGCAAGAAAAGATATAGTGTTCCATTTAAGAAATTGAAGTTGACCTTCACGTAACCTTCAAATGGCTATTCAAGGTCAAATCAATGACACCATCTCATGTCCCCCTTGAAACCATACAACTTTTATCTGAAACATTTTTGTCTTAAATTTTTGGATTTTGAGAAATTTTAGTGGAAAGATTAAAATGGCCTACCCTGTATATTCACCGATATTATTATCAAAGGCATCTTATCAAAAGTAGCGTGAGCGCGTGATTACGTATCGATCGATTTGCATAAGACAAGAAAAAAGGAAAACCCCTCGATTGGAAAACCCCTTTTACTCGATCTCCAGCACCGGAAATAATATCGGCGATATCTATTCCTAGGCTCTCTGCTGCGCCTAAATCCTATATATCGTAGGCCCTTGCCTTCTACGCCGCCATCCATCATAAATCCGCGCGGTATCATAATACACTACTCGCTACAAACTCTCGAAGAAGCGTTTCTCTCTAGCGTTCTTACGAGCCTGGCTGACGTCACTCGCCCGTAATCACCCGGCCCCCGTACCTTGGGCAGATCGCCCCTGTTGCTGTCTTCACTGCTCGTGAACGTGCTAGAAGTGTCTATCCCGGAGTCTTTGGTCGCGCTGTCTTGGCTACCCTGCCGATCGGCCTCCCAAGACCATTCCTCCTCCTGAGGGCCGCCGACATTGGTCCCACCGTCAAAACGCACTGTCTTTTTCCCCCTCCTCTCCGTGAACCTAATTCAGACACGCCACCATGTACACAGAGAGAGACACGAGGACGGATGGATGTGATTGGTGTGCGTGTGAATATTGCAGTTTATTTTTTAAGGGAATCCTACGCCGGTATTCGTAGTCAGGTATTATATTTAAGATCGTCTTAAGTTTATCTTCAGATGCTGTACGGATCATTTTATTGGCTACGGAGTATCTGAAGATAAACTTAAGATGAATGGTCTTTGAATATAAAACCCGACTATGAATACCGACCCGAAATGTTCTTGATAAGTCTGTTGGTTTTTTCCTGTTTTATCGACAAAATGTGAGGTTAGGTTAAACTCTAAATCTATTTATTACTATACGGATTGTTTTTTACCTGAAATTAGAGCGCTTCGCTCTTTGTTAATATTGATACTTTCATTTGTACAGGAAAAAGATTGATCAATCAAAAGGTTTATCAAATATAGTCTCATATATCTTGATTACAGAGTTATGAATACTTAAAACTCATAATTCTGTAATCAAGATATATGAGACTATACAGATTGATAGATCTTTTTCCTGTACAAATTAAAGTATTAATATTGATAAAGGGCGAAGCGCTCTAATTTCGGGTAAAAACAATCCGTATAGCCAATAAATAGATTTATAGTTTATCTAACCTCACTTTTTGTCGATAAAACAGAAAAAACCAACAGATTTCTCAAGAACGTTTAGGATACCCTTAATGCAAATTCGGGTGTAAAAGGGATAGAAGAGCCGGGCGCAGATATTAGGGACAAAATTATTTTTAAATTCCTTTATACTTATTTTGAACGTTCTTTGAGACCTCAATTGGTTGGTCCAAAGATAGAATCGAAATGTGTTCAAGATAGGTATAGAGAAACTTAAAAATAATTTTGTGTTAAGCTTTTAGACCCCATTTATACCTGGATTTGTATTTGTCAGAGCCTTTTCGATTTATTATTTTGCATTTTAGCATATTATTATTTTGCACGAATCTCGGGTCCGAGTTTCAGAACTTAGAGTGCGATTCGAATATCCGTCTCTCTTGTTTTTTAACGCAAAATTAATAAAAAAAATAATAGAAAGTAAGAAAATAATCCCCCAAATTGTAAAAGTACGTTAATTAATTACAAGATTTTCAACGCGCGATAACATAATTTGATATAAAAAATTTTGATAACAAATTATGTGTTTGTTTTTGCGAATGTAATATATTATTGTTCTACGCTTCGTCTCTGAGCTTTTTTTTAAATATTTTTCAGACTCGTTAATCAAGAAGTTGTTTTCGCTCGTAAATATAACTCAGATATGAGTTCGATCTTTCATCGTCACAAAATTGTCGTCGAAAATAATAAAAGTGCTCTACACGTGTGTTTTAAATTATCGAATATTACATTGAATCAAAGTTAGAGGAGAGAGAATTATAATATTGAATTAAAATATTTACCTTATATTTCAATGAAATATTTTAATTGTGTAAAAAATATTCTCCGCTAAAAATCGAGTTTTTTCATATTTTTAACAATTATTATACACACGTGCAAAGAGATTCATATCTCGTAGGCTATAGAGGAATTTTTGCATCACAGAGAAAGAGAAAGAAAGCACAAAATTAAAATATGGGACGGATAGATCACATTTATGTACGTTTCATGTTCTTAATTTGGTTAATTTAACTAATGGCATTTTTCAATATTGTCAGAAAGCTTATATGCAATGTATAATTGCAGCTTAAATTTGAATAAAATTTTAATTTTCAAAATTTCTCATAAAAACAGCAGAAAACAAAAAGCATTTGTATGCCTTATAATTTTTTTTCAAGTACTTTAATAAACGCGCAATATCATAAAAAATATTATACGGAAACTCAATTTTGAAAAAGTCCCATTAATTAAAGCTCGTCATACTCAATTTAAATTCACCTAATTCGACAAGCTCTCGCAGAGACGAAGCGCAGGACAAATTGCATATTGTAATTTCGACAGAACTCGCAACAATGTATCTGTAAATTCAACTTTGACCTTTATTCATAGTTTAGGCTTCCCCTCTAGGCTCTTTAAATAATACGAAAATAGAAAATTTTAAAAAATAATTATTTCTACTCCAATATTGTTTTTACGTATTTCCCCGATAAATACATAATTATCATTCCCATGTCGCAAATTTTGAAAATCGCCACTCAAACTTTCGCGATCGAAGATTTTAACGACACGTGCTTTTCGCGAATAAATAAATAAAGAACCCCATTATTAATCTTATATAAAATGGATTGCAGTTAAATCAACTTCACCAAATTTTTTTCATATGTTATAACCAATTAAACAACTCGCAGAACCTGAATTTTTGTGTTTGACTGGCTGTAAATCAGTTCAACTGTCTATTAATTAGCTTTGAACTTATTGTATTTTTTGTTCAATAGATCATAAGCTACAACATATGAGAAAAATAGCTGATTTTCAATTTTATATAGAATTAGTGCAGAGTTTTTAAAATCCTAGATAAAATTGAATTCAAGTAAAATCGGCTGATTTTCTCATATGGCAACTTATAATCTGCAATAGGCTCCAAATTAAATAATATACACAATCGTTTGATTAGCCGTAGCTTTATAATATAAAAAAACCTACACTAAAAAAAATTGTTAACTTGACTAAACCTTTCAACTAAATTACTATTTCGTTAGATTTAATGCTACATTTAAGTTAAATATATTTATATGTTCAATTAACAAAATAATATTGTGAGTTAACCAAAGTCGATTTCATACAAGATTAGTGCGGGGTTTTCTATAAAATAAATAAATAAAAGTTTGTGGAAAATAGACGGAAAAAGAAGAGAGCATAAAATTTAATAAATCTTTAAATAATATATTGATTATTAAATAAATATTTAAATTTTTCCTCATATATATAATTTTTCAAATCTTCTATTTTATTTATTTATTTAATAATCAATGTATTATTTACAAATTTATTAAATTTCATAAATCTTCAAGTAATATATTGAGATTATTAAATAAATATTAAAATGTTTTCCTCATATATAATTTTTCTTCTCGCACGCGCGGTGTCTTGTTTTTTTTTTTTTTTTTTTTTTTTTTAACGCACCTCCTACTGTCGGAGCGCCACTCGTCGCCGCATCTTCGGAAGCTCCGTCTGACGAGAGTGCTCTCTTCCTTTCGCGGCTCTCGCGGTGGATGGTAGCCGTTATGCTCGACGGCCGTGTTTGCGCCCGACCCATTGTGATGCCCATTGTGGGATCCGTTGTGCCTACGTCCACCACTGGACATCGATTTCGGACCTCCCGCGTGGTGGTAGTACCCCTTCCCTACAGTAGATCCAAAACGGTTTTTCGTCTTTTTCTCACCCTCTCTTTCGACGGCCTCCCTCGACCGTGAAACCCTTAATTTTAGCTACCACGAAGTACTCTCTTCGTCGCCGAGAAGCATATTTTCTCTCTCCGCTGCTCTTCTTCCTTAGCTTTTTTAATTTAATTTTCTTTTTGGAGGTAATCTGTCATGTCTCGAGACGTCATTTCGTTTTTTTTTTTTTTTTTAATTTATTTCTCGAATCATATGGACGCATCCTCCTGCGTCAGCTTTGTGTGTGTGCGTTTTGTGTGTTTTATGTGGCGATATATATAATATATACCTAACAGAAATGAAATAAGAGGCAGCGGTGCAAGCTTGCCCGCGATAAAAAATATGTGCGACAGACGATGTCTGGAAGCGTCATATGTAAGATAGAACCGATTAAAAGACGAATTTCTGAATTTGGCGAGAGACGACTATATATAACTGCGTAAAAAAATGTGCAGGGATCGTGTGTGATTGTGTGTATGTGTGTGTTTGTGTGTGTGTGTGTGTGTGTGTACATGTGTGCGCGTATATAACGTGCATAAGTTACAATCTGTCCATCTAAAAGTTCTGGCATCAAGGGGACACTTTCTATCTCCTTGGGACAGCAGGATTTAAGTGATAGACATCGAGATTTTTATCGTGTATATTACACAAAACTTGGGCAGGAACAGACGTAAAACATGAAAAATTATAATACGAACAGAGGGATTTTTATTTTTAGCTCTTGTGTGTACGATGTCACGTCCCGCATGCGCCATTAAATAATCATCGACTCTTACAGTTATTCAGGAAATTGTGATCAAAAATTTTCTGCTACAAAATATTTATTGTACTATAAAATATATATAAGAGAGAGAGAGGAGAGAGAGAGCAAGCATAAAACAAAAATTTTCATAAATTGTATACTAAAGAAAATATACAAATTTATCCTGAAAATCATTTTCATAAGAGTTACTCTGATTAATATTTACCACAATAAGAAATATTAATATATACATAGTAAAATTAATCAAACATATTTTCTATTTTATTGTAGAAGATATTAATAATTTTATTGTGGTAAATATTAATCAGAGAAATACTTATAAAAGCCTTCCAATATCATATTGCATCTACAATTTTTAGAATAAATTCTAAGAGAAAATTTTCTTTGTGTATATATGTATATTTCTAAAATAATTTTTTGAAAAACATTTCTAAATAATTCTTTCAAATTTTCCAAACTTTTGATTTCTCAATTTCGTGAATCACTATTTAAGAGATATGTTTTCCAGAGGATGTAAAATAATATTAACATCTCCACATTTTATCTTGCAAATTTAGCGCAAATTTAGAGTAATATAATCGTTAAAAAAACAAGAGAAAAATGAGATATGTGTAACATAACACGGTCCCTTAATTTGTTAAAGAATGCTAAAAATAATTACTGCAGCCGTTATCGAGGGTTATCACACCCTGGGTTATTAAGGGTTATCACACCCTGGGCAAGTACCCAATACAATTTATGCAGCATATTAAAATATGTATATAGCGAAAATAGAAAATATTTCGAGAGGCGCAATATATATATTTGTGAGAAAGTTGTACGTGTACGTATATATATATAATTTTTTTAGGGGGAGGTGTAGAGTGTGAATAAAAATATACCTGGTGTGCACGATTCATAGCCGTCCAAAGTAGAACAAATAAAATCTATTACAATTCTGTGCCGATCGGTCGCGTCACGCGATACCTTATTTTTCGCGAGCTGCGCAAGCGCAAGCAAGCAAAGGGGAAGAATTGCATTTTCTCCGTAGAAAAATTTACTTCGGCACGTACTCGCATTATTCTCGTGGTATATAACGTCACGTGGGCGTGCCCCGAGGCCCGCAAAAAACTGGAGAGAGAGAGTTTCGCAAAAATATATATGTATATGTGTGTATAATATACATACGAGCAGGGATAACACAAGAGAATTCTCTAAACATACGGCAATTAAGCGCGGACGGTAGGTATATGTTGTCCCGATAAGTCTTCATTTCGAGTAGTTAAATTAGAAGGTAACTTTGAAAAAAATAAATTAAGAGAAAAGGACAGACTTTTTCCTGACACGTGCGACCGTTCGGCAGAGATACGTACACACACATGCACACGCATACGCACAGATATATGTATTATATATGTATATATAAGTATACATACAATTAAATTTATATATTATTATATATTATTACGTATATATATATATATATATATAATTATATATATATATATGTTTTTTGTGTATACAGAGTGTAATTAAACAAAGGTATACAAAGCACATCATTGGATGCAGGACAACAAACTAAATCGAAAAGTCCTGAACCATTTTTTAATTTGAGCTTTATTTTTGACGCTACAAATTGTTAAAATTGACCAATTAGCGCGTGGCTACAACGGAAAACAGCGTAGGCGCCGCCTTAGTGGGCGTAGCCACGCGCTAATTGGTCAAGTTTAACAATTTGTAGCGTCAAAAATAAAGCTCGGATTGAAAAATGGCTCAGGACTTTTCGATTTTGTTTGTCGTCCTGCATACGATGATGTGCTTCATATACCTTTGTTTAGTCACACCCTGTATAATAATATTTAAAATAATAATATATATAGTATATAGTGTATATATATGTATATATATATATATATATGGCGAAAGATGGATATTTGCTCTGTATTTTTTACTGTAATAAGGTTATTAAGTACCGCGGGGAATAGCCGATTCATTCTGTCCACCTTCTCCCGCGAGCCCCTGGAAGTCATCAGCGACGGCGGCTTTTGCCCTAAAAGCCGATCTCCCTTTAACTACACACTTTCACACACAACACACCGTTGACTTATCGCTAATCGCGAGATATAATGCATCGCTGCGATGTCTCTCATTCACCTACGCCGGGAAGATGGATTTTATCGATATACACCGTATAACTGTCAATGAAAATTGTAATTAGACGAGATATGCAATTAGAGAAGTACGAAAGTTAATCCTGTGCTCAATATTTAAATGATACAATGCGAGGAGAGTAAAAAAATTAAAGGATAATTGATAAAGAACGATACACAACAGATGGAAAATGTTGGAACATCTGTGAATTGAAAATATCGCGCAAAATTAAGTGACAAAGCGGCTTTGAATTCAAACAGTGAATGATATATTTTATATGCAAGCGACTCTTTTGACGTGGGATGTTGTTGCGTAAGAGTTGTTTGTCGTTAATTCTTTCACTGAAAGAAATGCACAATTAAATACCTTGTACATTAAATGTGAAAAGTATGCGAAGAAATATTTTTAAACAGAATTATTAAGGGATTATTAAGAGATTGTATTAAGAAGAGGAAGTCTCAGATGTGCTTGTCGAATGCGTCATATACAGACTGTTTCACAAAACAGATGTTCTTTTAATTGTAAATTCTCTGTCTAATTTAGAGACAATTTTTTCTTGTTCAAAATGTCAAAGGAAATAATTTTTTGCAAGTTTCTAACTTTTCTTTGTAACCTGTAAGTTTCAAAAAAAAAAACAAATAAAATTAATTTACATTAATTAAAAAAATAAAATTAATTCAGATTCAAAATAAAATTCTATTGAAATAAATTTCACTCAAAATTAAAAACGGAAAACACAACTTTGTTAACCTTTCAATTCTACAAAGTTCAGTTTGCTAAAAGCTTTTTTTCAATCGAAAGGTTATCGGGGCGTTTTCGCTGACGAGAAAAATCGTCCCCGCAGACCGACCGGGAAATTCACCCTTAAAGGAACATCTAGCAGTTTCAGAACACCCTGTACAATATACAAGCACGTACGCAGCACGATAAAGATTCGCAGAGCTCGTAAAACTAACAAATTGGCTATACGATCGCCACGAGAGAGTCATCTTTATATCATTGAACGACACCCTACCCTATACAGCCATATTCTGTGCATCATTCGATATCCGTAAGTCAAAACGCGCGATATCTCGATATTACGGCATAACGAGAGACAATAAAAGCCACGTTATTCGAGAGAGCAACTCCATTGACGATCGAAGGCGCGATTTAACAATGTAGTCGATTTAATCGGCGAATAGCATTACGTCTATTGTCCAACAGAGAGAGAGAGAGAGAGAGAGAGACTAGATTTCCCTTATTGCGTACGAAATTCGAGTCGAAATTTTGCTCCTATTTTGAATCTCAATTTTCTCACGTTTATAAAGAGATTCTAGAGGATTTCGATAGAGGGTAGTTTAATTTGTATAGAAATCGAGCTCCTCCGCTTTGTAAACAGTAAACCTCAAATAAACTGTAAACGAACGGGTTTTCCGCTTGGAGATTTAAAAGAGGAGCTCTCTCTCTCTCTTTCTCTCTACACAAGTTAAATAGTTTCGAAAAGAGGGCGATCTAACTGCGCTTATAAAGTATTGAGGCGGATGCTGGGAATTGGAAAACTGAGATATAGATTATAAAAAAGTAGACCAATTTTGGAAAAAAATTCATGGAAAAAATATTAGTTGCTTTATTGTTAGTTAAATTTTAGGTATCCTTATTTTATATCTGAAATTTAGTCACCATGCCTAAATTTTTTAAATATTAATTTAGGGACCATCTCTAAATTAGGTAAGATTTTTAGGAGAAGAAAGGGTCAACATTTTTTTACACTTTATTACGTGGAGGAAAGAAGGGTTGAAATAGCTTTTATGTAAGATGTTTGAAAATATTCCTATGATAAAATCAAATAAATTTTTTTCGTCAAAAAAATCATGAAAGTTTTCATTTTCATTTATTAATTAGTTATCTTTATCGACTAATTCTCAACTATTTTACAAAAATAATAAAAATTTACCTTGATATTTTGGAAAAAGATTTACTCACTTTAACCAATTCTTTATCTCTAAAACGGGATTAAAATATTTAAAAAATCTTATCAGTAAAATTATAAAATATTACGTAAGATACAGAAAGAAAAAAGGGTCACAAAAA